GCTTCTTTCACAGAAAGGTCGTTAGGAAATTACTGATTGGTATTGGCTGTCATCTAACATCTTGTCTGTGGCAAAAAGGTGGTCCAAATCTGATTCTTAAAAAGGTCAAAACAATGGAAAATCTGGAAGAGAAAACCAACACACAACTCCAGAGAACAAAGCAATACTGTACCTCCAACGACCTAGTTCTAAACGAAAGCAAAACCGTTCAAATGACTTTTACCACTAAACGCAACAACACAGACATTACAATACCGGGACTACAAACACAAAATACCTAGGCATCATAATTGACTCCAAGCTATCATGGAAACCCCACATAGACCAGCTCTGCAAAAAGTTAAGTTCAAGTCTCTACGTTATACGTAGGATCAAGCAAGCTTGCAGCCCAGAAGTAGCCAAAGTTGCATATTTAGCTCTATTCGAGTCCCACCTCAGATATGGCATTGCGACTTGGGGTGGAACATCAAAAGGCAACATGGAAAGAGTACTCTTAAAACAAAAAAGAGCAATTAGATGCCTTGCCGACCTGAACTACAGAGACAGTTGCCGAGAAGCCTTCAAGAACCTTAAAATTCTCACATCAATTTCACTCTACATAAGAGAAGTCATTGTCCACACCACTAAAACAGCCCAGCCAAGACACAGAGACATACACCAGCACAACACACGACATGCCGCCAATGTTTCCCTCCCACAACACCATCTGAGTCTGTACGAGAAGAAACCATCCTACAAAGGTGCTCTGTACTTTAACAACCTACCAGAGCACCTCAAGAGAGAACAACCCAATCTGCTCAAGAAGCACCTGACAACATGGCTTATGGACCGGCCGTTCTACTCTAAAGGATGAATTCTTAAACAATAAGCTACCATGAAAAAAAGAAGAAAAAAAGAAAAAAATTCTAATTGTAATTGCAAATTACTGTAATACTTTACGTACATACTGTACATTTTATGTTCCTGACGCATGAATGTTCTCTAGGAATATTTCAATAAAGATTTTGTCTATTGTCTATTGTCTTTTTTGGTCTGAAAATCACAATTTTTATTCTTGAATTTCGTTTATTTACACCCAATTACGATAAGGACTATTATAGATATAAGAACGCTCAGCACGTCCTCTTGATTAATTTACTGGTTGTGGAGGGTAAAAATTGAATAAACAAATCATTTTATTTAATAATTACTAATTGGTTATGTATTAAGATATATTTCCTACAGTAACCTGACAAAGTGGGCTTCCTTGCACTGATTATAGTACAGAAAGTTGCTAATTGCTGCATTTACTTACTTTGCAACACACGTTTTTACTTCGTAGCACAGTTTTTAATTTGTTGCACACCAGTATTCCAACCAAACGAAACAACACAAAACAGCGTGCTTTCATTGTGCACGTAAAATTAAAATGTGTAACACAAGTGGAAATTGCCTTTGCCCACTATTTGCACAAATAAGTATTCGTATTGTAATTCATTTTCAAATTTACATTGTTTTCACAACCATTTTACAGCGCATTTATCCTCATTTCAATATGGTAATCATGTTCTAACATGCCAATGCGGAACTTCATTTGCCGATGAATGTACGAGTAGTACGACGGAGTGACCATGAACATCTCAAGGTCACCGGGTGTTCCAAAGGCGTGTAAAAGCTAGAACTACTAACTAGAACATTCTACGCCTTTACTCCAGCGGTCGATCGGTCAATGAATCATTTACCTAGTCATCTATCAGTTTCCAAACCCACTTACTAACTGCCGACAATGTGTCAAAGTGTTTTGTGGTAAAATCGATATTCAAAAATGGGATTTGTCAATAGATCATAGACCCCTTTGTAAACCAAGTCATTAATCACTGAGAAAAGGGTCGATTTCGAGGTTATGTTCGTCATGTAACAAGTTTTGTAACTTTCTACCATCATTCCATTTCTAGATTTGATTTATTGTCTTTTATGTAGGTGTAGTTTTTCCCTTTTCATTCCTCCGTCATGAGCTGTATTGTACAAAGGAAATATTTCGAATGATGAATGGAAAATAAACTATAAATTTGAGGCTGTCGCAATTGTTGCGCAAGACGAAGGCTGGATTGTACTAGAAAATGCTAACTGCAAAGGTTAATTAATAAGGCGTGACTTTGGCATTAGCGGTCGGTATTATTCATAGGTTATTATCCACCCTTCGTTTCCTCATTCCTTATTCATCTCTAAAATTAGCTTTGCATAAAGAATAGCCACATTTTATAGTTTAAACTACGCATGTGTTGTGTACACTTTTATATATCCACAAATGATATAAACTTTATAGGGCCTACTACTTTCTCTTCACCCATCGTATCATTCTTAAAACATTCATAAGGATAATATAATGTAGTATTGTCGTGGAACGTCTTATTTTTATGCAATCTTTAATGAATAAATCGCTGGTTTCGTGTTCAACATCTTGTTCAGTCATGTAGGTTTCTTGAATAAGTAATCTAATGGTTTTTTCATTGATTGTCCTGCTTTATTTTTAATATTTTTCGTTGTTTCGGTTTTTGCCGCCAAAACGAAAAATAATTCTTTAATGCATCAAGCCTATTTAACTTAAATTTTTGGTATAATCTTGGGGGGGAACACATCTGGGGTATCGCTAAAGTGGTATTAATTTAATTGTTAATTGGCGTTGACTTATTTATAATTATAACAGATACAGGATTTTCTTTTATCCGTGCATTTTTCATCACAGGGCCAACGACTTTTTTTAATTGGTATATCCTGAAGTCAAGATAAACGTTATACTAGAATCATTTAAGAAGACTTGTGCTTTGCCTCCCCGTTGCTGGATGTGACATGCATGGACAAAATATGATCTAGACTATGTAGAGCTAGTTTTAGGTTTAAGCAGGTTAAGTTATGTATTTTTGCGGTTACCGGTACCATAACCAAAGATTACGTAGCATGTGAAATCTTTGCTATAACACAATTCCATTGATAGACAACAATCAAACCAAACTATAGCGTAAAGTACTCTATGTTCAACCAACCATTAGCCAAAACTGTCAGCTAAATGATGGTATGATGCATTAATTAGGCACCAGTGTAGGCTACATGCCACATCACGACATGATGTCATGTAATCTTACACCTAGTTATGTAAGTTATTCAGAGGTTTGCGTGGCAAGTGACTATTCGCTATTAACCTTTAAGTTTAGTACTGTATTCACCATATGGATTACCTATTATAATAAGGCTAACCATAATAATAGGAAAAAGGGCTAACTAAGCCCAAATAGCACTTTTTTGGACAATTTATGCTTAGTGAGATATTTTAATAGGGCATATAAAGGCAAAATGCATATACAAACTCGTAAAGTTAGTTTATACTCAATTTCAATATGGCCTAATAAATTTATCTAGGCTATCTACAAATTATTTTAGGCATAAGTTGCATAAGTGTAAGATTATTGAACGGTGGAGATTCATGGTGGAAGGAAAATACATAAGTTAGGTGTGCTATTCTGGAGAAAATATATGATAAAGGAAACTGTATAATCTCATCGTAATAAAATATGATTACATAATAATTGCTTTCTTCTTACTACTCGCTAACAAGCAAACCTCGCTTCATTGTTAAATGTTTGCAATCAAGCAAATAACGAGCGCTTTTAGGCTAATTAGCCGACCTTACACTACCAGCTTGGTTGATAACATAACCTAAACTGCCTGTCAAAGTAAGAATAGCTCATGATAACATGTAGCCTAGGCTAAATATCAAGAAATTGGGTAGGTAAATCAATAACAAATTTACAAAGATGTGTTTAATTGTTTCAACGTAATTTTCTTAACTAAGCATCATATAAAACATAGTTAGTTACACTAGTTAACTTATCAGGCCTAACTTAGCCTATATTAAGAGAACACCACCTTATTGTTTGCTATTTTATAAGATAACGATGCCGTAGTCTTAAGTTAGAAAGCACATTTTGAAAGTTAGTCTATTAAAGAATCCTACATATAGGGCTAACCTAACTTAATGTATAGTGTACTTAATAAGTTAGGCCTAAGTTATTAAAAATCCACAACTGAAACGGCAACTTAACTTACTCAAAACAATTAAAATCTTAAAATACGGTAGGCCTAACATATTATTTTTATTATTGGAGCTGAGTAAGTTGTCTTATTTTGTACCTGGTTCAAAACAAGCCACGAATACTAAACAAGCCTAAATACACTAAAATCGTTCACGAAACTCAATAGCCTAGCCTACTAACTTATTAGGCTAAGCCTCATTGAACAAAACAACAACAAAATTCTAAATAATGAGTAGGCCCTAAATTGCACCGTTATTCGTTTTTTACAAGTCAATACCTTGGCTATCACTTTCACTTGCTGGTAAAAGAGATTCCTCTTTGATCTGCTTTATCATATCCATGTAACGTTTCATTTCGATTGTATCCTCTTCAATCTCCTCGAGGTTAAGCAATTCTTGGAGAGATTCAGGACTGTACAATCTACATAGTTCTAGTTTCAACTTTACACACTTAACCTTGATTTTAAGAACAGCCCCGACCATTTCATTCAGCGTACTAAGATGTTCGGACGCTTTCATGTCCAGATTTTTCCAGAAGTCTTTTTCCAATGGTTTGTTGCTGTCGTCTATTTGTTGTGATGACATAATGTAGAGAAATTTGGTTATCTTTCGTTAGTGTAATCGTAACTTACTATGAAAGTATACCTGTGCAATGTCACTAACTAACAAATTAGTCAACTGTTTGCGTCTTATTATCTGCAATAACCAACACAAAACTTGAATTCCAACCTCAACGGAAACAGTTATACTTATACAAGCCGGCCGGCAATACCTATATCGTGAGTGAATCAGCTGTCGCAACAATCGATGCCAGCGTTGCATGTGACTCGCGATGACCTTCGGGTAATTCTGAGCGTTGGCGGCCAGTTAAAGGCGGTGACGTATTCTTTACTCCCTCTACCATGTAAACTGGGCTCATTTAGTCGACGGCTAGGTTTGGTTTGAAACGTTTCACTGAAATCCACGAAAACTACTACCGGTGCAGGAAGATTCCTATAGTATTTGTCACCTAAGGAAAACCATGGCGGAATTTTGTGGTTGTTGTAGTGAGTCCTTCTTGGTCGTGACTCCCTCGTTTGTGCGGGTGTCTTGTTGGGGATGTCGGCAAAATTTCCATGATCGCTGTCTTCACATGAATGATCTCGAACGGAGAATTTTCCGAGAAAGAAGTATTTGGTGGTGTCCGCCTTGTTCTACCGACAGATCTATGAGGGGACTGAGAATTGAAGATCCTCCAGGTATGAATTTTACTTCTTTAAAATCATATTCCTTGATTGTAAAGTTTCGTGTATACCGTTCAATTATATATACTTCAAGCTAACCCCCGAACTGAAACATCGTTTCCACCCACTTCACACCTCAAATAAGAGTCCTGAAATTCCGGTACCATTTAAAAGTTACGTTGGAGAACATTATTAATTTGGTATAAACACGTTTTATAATCATAGGTCACTTAAGTAACCAGGCACATAGAGATAAAACTGCACATAGGACCTTGTGTAGCAGCTTCGTAGATTTGAAAACATCCATAAGGACTCCACTCCACGTAGGTATTGCCTTCGAAAACACACATTATTGGAACCTTTGTGTGGCAACAATGTAGAATTTAGACAACACACGTAAACGGCCAACGGGATATTTACGTATATTTATAGCTAACCTAAATGAAAAACGAAACAAAATAAAATTTAAATTTATTAATCTAAAATGCTTGGAATAAACAACCGCATTAGCGGAAATTTCCTAATTCCTATGAAATGGCGACCATACTAAATATGTAATTTAAGCCAAGTAATGGAGACGAGTGTATATAATAAGCTGGGGCAGTTTGGTTTAGAATAATAATGATTATATCTTTATCACTTAAAAATCTTAAATAATTGTAATACGTACGGTCAAAATAAATCACAAACTTAGCGATCGATTTGCGTTCCGATACAGTTCGCCAAAAATATTGATCACATAAACTTTATCAGTGTTATATTGCAGAAATATTGTCGCCAGTCCCCAACTGAAATAACATTAAACACATGCATGTTTAGTTTTGTAAATATTTTAGTAGGTAAGTACGGTATGATAACACGAACAATATTTATTTACCTACATCAATATTTACAATATCAAAACACGAAAGGCACATTAGGTTGGTGACTGATATGGGAAAAGTATCAATAGCACACGAAATATTGGATCACGAAATCGGCACCAATCAGAAATCTGTTTATCGGAACCTCATGAATCATGATGGCGCCGGTAGGTAAGTTATTGAAGGTTGAATCAGAGTGTGTAGGGCTAACAGCAACAGCACACACGCAACGCAGGGTAAAAATAATGAGTGATAATGAGTGTCCCATACCAGCCGCTTGCCGGCCGGCGAAGCGCGGTGGACGAACCTCATTGGTCGAGCGCTCACCCCTTCCCTTCCCCTACCAACTTCCGCCACTGATATACTCCGCTCTTCGCCGGACTTGATCACTGTTGCTGTTGCTGTCGTGTGTGTCTAGTTTGTGGTTTTGTGTTTTCCAGTTTATTAACTTAACAGTGAGTAGTTTCTTGTTCTTCTTTGGTTAAGTTTTAGAGGTTAGAGAAGCTAATTTGTAAAATTGTAATATATGATGTGATTTAAATTTTGTTGTTTTTTTTATTTAATTTGGTAAGGTAGGTCAGAAACTGAGGTGCAATAGTTTGACAGGTTAGAAGTTGGATAGGTCTGATTCTGGTGATTTAAGTTTTAAGTCCTAAACTTTTTTGTTTTGGACAAACTACATTACTGTATTTTAAAACAGTCCATAAAAATTGTAAGTCAATATAACAATATAAGTAAGTTAATTCCCTTATTGGGCTAAGCCTAGCTAACGATTGCATAGGCCTACATGAATTTTAGGTCCTAACTTACAGTAAAATTGAAAATATAAAATTAAAATTAAATCTACCTTTTGTTCAGTATTTTAATATCTAAAAATAACCAGTAAATGCATGTAGTAGCAGTTCTTGTACAGTTAAATAAATAATTCCTGCATTTTAAAAGATTATTTTTAATCAGTATGTACTAATTCAACATCCTGGAAAAAAACAGTCCAACTTACAATAGACTAAGTGAAACAATATAAATAGTGCCCTAAAATTATGTGTAAGTAGGTTGAAATTGACAGGGCCCAGAATAGATTGTTATTTTAGAAATTAGCCTCTATGTTATTTTGTATGTAACTTTTATGTAAAATATTAATGTTGTAGGAAATATGTTGCCTCTTGAAATGAGAACCGTTGTAGGTAGATTTAATAATTAATTATACTAGACCAGAATTGACTAATTTCTACCATTTATTGACTATGAGAAATCATTTGAAATAAAATGTAAAAAAGTTTATAGGGGAAAAAGATAACTTTATTGTAATTCAAATACATTCAAACCCTAATAGTATTCAACAATGTTGTTAAAAACTCACAGAATATTGACTAAATCATGTCCCCACATATGAATAAAAGTAATTCTTAAAAAAAAAAAAAAAAAAAAAATAGCTTGACCAGGTAAAATTGAATTTTTTTATTAAAATAATGATCTGCAGCTCGCATTTAAAAAAGGCCGTTTTGCTATTTGCGATTACGATGCCATTACAAGGTACTAAATATGCCCATTTTGTAATAATTGCAAGACATTCAATAACTGTTACCTTAAAATTTTAATTTGAAAATATGTGTTTAGCTACGTACTTATTTTTGAAATTACTTAGTTTTTACTATTATACGCAAATATTGGTATTTCCACTTTTTGGCATACACAAGAAAGTCAGTTTAGTCAACATGTGCCGCTATCAGATCTCGATAGGCATGTTGGGAACAAAGAGCAAGAGCCTTGAAGGGCGTTGACCGAGAAGTGAAAGGAGCTGGACCAAGGACTGCGGAAGGCGAGGCGAACCCGGTGGCCTCCAGAACTGGGTGTACTTCCACACTGAGGCATGCATGGGTAACTGGAGTAGGCAAAGAATTCAATTTTAATCGCCATTTCATGTTCACAATTTTTATCACTTTTAAAACCTTTGTTGAAAATATCTTGAGTAAATTATCAAAATTGGTTATCACACCTCAATCAAATAGTCCTATTTTATTAGACTATTTACTAATATCACTGAGGCGTTAACTTTTTATTAATAAAATTGTAACTTAGCCTATGTGTTTTTAAGGCCTAATAAGCGTAGAAGAAAGTTGCTATGGTGCCCGGTCAAAATTTTTTATTCCGTAAGTTATTCGAAAGGTGAAGTTTGACTTTGGTCTGAATGTATTGTTTTATGCGTTTTCTTTACGAGTTTGTTAGCTAAGGTCTTTCGTGAGTAATTTAGTTTTATAACATTCTTGCCTCAGGAAAATTGTCTCGGGATAGCCAGAGTAGGCGTAATAGGGTCAATGGTAAAACTCTATGGATTTCCTATCTTTATATTTCAGCTGTTAAGTATACCGAAGATTATAAAATGCAAAACAAACAGTCCCAGCATACTCATCAACAAGATAAAATGCGCAAAGGCAAGCAACCCCAAGATCAAAAAGTCAACAATGAAAAGATAAAAGTCGATAAAAAAGATGAGAAGATAAAAAATTTTCAAGAAAAAGTTGATGTTAAAGGTGCTAAAGGTAAAAAAGACAGTGAAAAGTCAGAAGAAAAAGAAGTTAAAAATAAAAATGATAAGGGAGAAATGAAAGAGAACAATTTAATCAAGGGTAAAAATGAGTCAGGCAAAAATGAAGTTAAGAAAGTTGAATCAGATAAAGATGCTAAGACAAAACATGAAAATAAAAATAGAGACAAGGATGACAAAAGTGAGTCAGACGAAAATAAATAGTATGCACAGAGTTGAATAGATTTCAAAAGTCTACTCACATTTTAGTACACATATCAAGCAAGCTTTAGCGACACTTTCATAATAAAAACAATATAACAATCCAGTTTACTATTATGGGTAAATGTGATTTTTTCTCAAAGAATCCACAAAACTGCAATCGCAACAATGCAATTTAGATCACACATGTGCACTTTAGAGCACTATATTTTTTTCTGGTTCCCCCTTGTATGCAACTTTCAGTTTTTAGTGTATTTCTAAAGAATGTTGTATTGATAGTCGTGTTGCACATTTATTTTGTCATGTAGCGTAGCTCAATGTCACAAAATCAAGTAAGAAAGAATTATTGGAAATTGTAAACCAAAGTTTTTATTTGTTAAAACGAATAAGTTTGTATCTGTTTTTGTTTTGTTGCTGTACTTTTTGTAGGTAGCCTACATTTATTTAGTATATTTTAACTTTGTAAATGTGTAGGTACCTATATATAGGATTTAGATATAGTTTTTTTATACCCCTAATTATAAAAGTAGTCCAGTCAATGAATGATCCAAAAGTAGGTGTAGAGTGCGTGAGCAGGTAACTAAGCGATTCATTCAGAAACTTGTTCAGGGGGCTTAGGGTGTTAACATACCAAAAGTCCTGACACCTACTAGTAGGTGGTGAGCCAGGGGGTGGAGGGGGGAAAAAGGGGGGGAAAAGGTACGCATTTTGGGTTTTTTGATTATATCTCGAAAACTATCAACTTTTTGTATACTATAGTAAATTATAAAATTGAAGAAGATTAAATTTTCTACAAGAAAAGTATATAATGTGTTTATTTTGGTTCGACAGATTACGAGTTATAACTTATTTAATTGATATCTTATTAAAATACTCCTTCCATAAGAAATACATTTAAATTAGTATGCGAAATGGGGCGAATCCTATCCGCCCAAAGGAAATTTAACTGATATTCTGGAAATCTTGACAAAATTTCCAGTAATTTGACACTTTAATAATGAAATTTTGTCAAAAATTAAAGCGAGGGTGAGCGTTTAAAAATGGGATGATTTAAGTTTTTTTTTATATTTTCAATAAAAAAAACACCAAAACTCGACATTTTGTTACCTCGCCCTCGCCTTAATTTTGGATCAATTTTAATGATTAAAGTGTCAAATTACTTGAAATTTTGTCAAGATTTCCAGAATATCATTTATATTTCCTTTGGGCGGATAGGATTCGCCCCATTTCGCATACTAATTTACATGTATTTCTTATGGAAGGAGATTTTAATAAGATATCAATTAAATAAGTTATAACTCGTAATCTGTTGAACCAAAATAAACACATTATATACTTTTCTTGTAGAAAATTTATTCTTCTTCAATTTTATAATTTACTATAGTATACAAAAAGTTGATAGTTTTCGAGATATAATCAAAAAACCCAAAATGCATACCTTTTCCCCCCCTCCACCCCCTGGCTCACCACCTAGGAGTCAGGACTTTTGGTATGTTAACACCCTAAGCCCCCTGAACAAGTTTCTGAAGGAATCGCTTAGTTACCTGCTCACGCACTCTACACCTACTTTTGGATCATTCCTTGACTGGACTAAAGAGGTTTTAATTGATTTACAATTAAAAAAAAATACGACATTGAACAATGCTTTGCAATTTGACAATCTATATGTCTGCATGTCAAATTTTAATGAAAATAAAAATTAGATTTTTTGTTTGATTTCATCATTATTTTAAAATACGGATAACAGCTTAAAGGTAATATTTTATGCCATGCATAATCAGAATCAGACAAGTTTCTAAATTAAAATACTTAGTCACAAAAGTAAATTAAATTATGTAGGCTACAATATTTTGACAGCACCAAACCTATCCACTCCACATTATTGTTTATTGGAAGCCACAGAATAAGTGCACTTTTATACTGAATAGAGAGAGTGTTGAAAATTCAAACCACTCTAATTAGCCAGATTACTATCTGTAATTAGGTATGATATTTTTGTTCCCACAGTTGATGGAAATGACTAATTACACAGGCTGGGTTGGTGACCCTGTAAGTCAGAGATCAAACAAAGAGATATCATATCTCTCTTTACAAATGTTATACAACTGTCTTCTTTGGGCTGCTAAAAATAAACAAACATCTGTACAGTTCTAGTTCTGTTGTTTCTACTTAAATAAAAAAAAATCATTGATGTTCTCTCTGCGTTTCAAATTTAAGTAGAAATTTATTCAATTTTTTGTATATATTTCTTGTCTTTGAACCATCTTCTCATTAGGTTAAGATATCTAGTCTTTCATGCTTTGACAAAAAAGTCTATACGTTTAGCATGTTTAATGTTTAAATCCCGAGTATCAACGTAATACTGTCCCAATATTGACATAATCCTCGTAAATACTGTTGGTATTGAAAGTATTGTCACAATGTTGTATCGTATTATAAATATTTTACAACATAGGTATGTCTTGAAAATATTTTCCATTTTATCTAATAGGCGATATTTGGCTTAGTTTAAATTTAATCCTACTTTAATTTTAAAAATAAATAAAACCATGAACAATGAACATTAATTACTGTATTTATTTAAATGTTTTCTCTTAAAAATGTGATGTCTACAAATACTGGAACAATCCTATGAAGTTGCAAGTGAATTACGTATTGTATGACAATAATTCAAATGTGGGTGTTTAATATAAAATATGGGTTTAAATAATAAGCTAGATGCGATTTGTTTGCATAGGCTAAGTATGCAGTGGTAGGTTAGTTATTTAGTTTTTTAACCTATTATTACACACATTGATTAGTATAAACTACTAGGGGTTGAGCATGCATTGTTTGTAATATACGTAAATTTATAGGAAATAGATTTTTTGTTAAACACATTATCACTTTACATTCCTTAGGTATGTTGTCTAGAGGTTAGAAAGAAACAAATTTGTTCCCCAGTATTCACAAACAAATTTGATAAGTTTGGTCTGATTTCCTTTTTTATGTGTTTGTTTACACCAGTAGCTTGTTCTTTGAAAATTGGCTCTCCTTTTGCAATTGTACCAACAACCTTCAGATTTGACACAAGGTCTATCTAAAATCCACTCGCCTAGACTATTAATTAATTAATTATAAAATAATTTACTCAACTAAACACTTTTGTTATTTTTTGTTATTGTAAAATCAATCATAACACCGTACTGTATGTCCCACATACCACTAATACCATAATACTGTATGCATCCCACACAGGTTTTGACCTCGGGATGCAGACTTTATTATGTTCCAAAGTGTGAAAGTGTGTTTTTTATAAATTTACAAACAGTATCAACAGTTTAATTTAAAAAAATGTAATTTAGTTAGTATATAGCGTGAATATTCTGTAATATTATGTAAAGAGAACAATAAAGAGAGTTTCATTCATTCATGTTTCTACAGAGATGGGTCTAGACTTCTACTACACTCCTGGCAGCGCTCCTTGCCGCGCTGTGCTGTTGGCCGCTAAAGCAGTCGGAGTCGACCTCAACCTTAAACACCTGGATCTCATGAAGGGCGAACACCTCAAGCCAGAGTTCGTTAAAGTAAGTCACCCACTGCTACTTCAAAATTGGTTCAAATACCAGCTTCTGCAAAAATTTAAGTGTTAATTGCTTTTGCCGCAACTAAAAGAAAATCACAGTTTTGATACAACACAAAAGCTACTCATCTGTTTCCATAAAATTATCCTAACCCAGCCTAATTATCTTAAACTAGTGTAGAGGTTCATTAACCTCCATGGACAATCATTGGCGGGGATTCAAGGCTGTTTGAAACCCAGGGCCTGTTTGAAGGATGTCATAATCGCTTTAACAGAAGGTCGTATATTCAGGAACAGTACATAACATAAGCAAAACAGACACACAAATAGGATAATTTAATCCACAATTAAAAAACAATAAAACAGTACATTTAATGACAAACATATTGGTTTTGGGCAGTGATGTGGCAGGTAACCAATGTTGACTAAACATTTAAAACCTGTATTAACACTGTTATATCATCATTTGATAACAATTGAATTAATACATTTTTAATTAACTTGGTGTTGTTACAAATAAAAACGACAAGCCAAATAATGAACCCTAGCAATAATCATTAAATGATACTGAATTCTGTTTTGTTACTGAATCTTAATATGCTAGGCAATAACAAAACATACCTACGCCACACATTTATAAACATATCTTTACCCGGTAAATTCAAGATGACGGCTAAACGTGCTAATTATTTCTAAACATGCCTCTACAGTACAGTACAAGCTCTCAACATTCTTAAACTAATTTGTTTTCAATTATTATGTGCTTTTTGTGCTCTTGACATAAATCAGAGCTTTGCTATGGATAAATGTTTAACTATTATTTAGAAGCTAAAACCACATGTGAAAACGACTAATTTACGGTTTTAAATACAAAATGGTTTTGTAATTTTACTTAAAAGAAACAATTACAAAGATTCAGTTCATCAAGGGCATAGTGATCTTTGTGAATATTTTAAAGTTTATTTCAACTCGATAAACACTTTAATAATGCCACGAAGTTCTATTTTGTAGGACCATGTTTACATGTTAACCAGCCGGCAGGTGGAACCCTCTTATGTTATAATGTGATTGAGAGTTGAGTTGACGGAGGTTTTTGTTTTGCAGATCAACCCACAACACAATGTTCCCACACTTGATGACAACGGCTTTGCCATCAATGAAAGGTAATTGTTATTCTTTAAGGACTTTGTAGTTTTTAAATATGAATCTAATTGTGTTTTTTTTTTGTTTTCACCCGTTTGTAATCATAAATTTGAATAATTAATTCTTGATTGTTGAACTGTATTCCTTCTAATAATTGGTGTTGCACAAAGTATATCATGAGACAACTAACATTGTATTTTGTCCTACCAGCCGTGCCATAATCTGCTACCTGGCTGAGAAGTACGGCAAAGACGACTCCCTCTACCCCAAGGATGCCAAGAAACGAGCACTCGTCAACCAGAGGCTGTTCTTTGACATGGGAACACTTTACCAAAGATTTGGAGACCTCTACGTAAGTTTGTCTATGCGACTTAGTTCTATAACGTATTTAGTAAATATTAATTATTTTCACCACACTACTGTACTCTTTGTAGAAGAGAAAGTTGTTTTCAGAAAGGGAACGGTTAGTCAGCTGGAGTACAGTAAATTTACCTGTCAGTTTTGCAATAGGACTTTAACACAACAATGCTTGCCCACAGCAACAATGCTAAATATTTAGTTTGTTTAAATCACTTTGATTGAAAAACAACATTGTGTAGGTAGCGTAATTGTGAACATATAAAAAATTAATTTACCCTAGAAGATGCTTTAGGATTGTGAATATTGTGAAATTCCACAATAGTCCACAAAAGAAATATAGCTCAAATCTGCTGCCTGGTAATCCAAAACTAGGCATATGGGTCCATGTTTTCAAAGTGGCAAAATCATAGCAATATAAGTAAGGTGAAGCATAATTTTATGTTATTAGTCTAGAAATGGCTTATTAGCAAAAAACTGAGTAAAAATGTTGTCGCTGGTAGTATGGCAAAAAGGTATTCATCCAGGAAAGCGTTTATGGTACACTACTCACATGAAATCCTGCGCTAGGAAACCCTTGTACGGAAACTATCATGCTTGTACCATAAACATTTACATCCTGGCCTTTATTATTTAACTCAACTCAAAATATTATTCATTGTTCTTGTAAGAATCTTTTTACAATTGATTGTATACTGTCTATATTCACTTACCTACATAAATTAATACCATGAGAGCAACCCTGATTGATGCTTTCAAGACTCTAAATACTTGCACAATCAACATTTTCATGTTTTAATGATAACTCAATGTCCAGTACCCTGTGATGTTCGGAGGAGCTCCCTTCGATGATGAGAAGAAGAAGAAGTTGGACGAGGCCTTTGAATTCCTGGACAAGTACTTGGAAGACGGCAAGTGGGCTGCCGGAGACAACTACACACTGGCTGACATCACACTGGCGGCATCCGTCAGTACAGCTGAGGTGAGTAGACACTGAAGGAGACATCCCATCTTTATGGTCCATCTGTAGCCTATTTTTCATTTAGAAAAGAACCTAGTTGAGTTCACAGAGTTTGATACAGTTTTATTTTCACCTTGTAACTAACGTTGACTTTTTGTTAGATAAGAAAAATCATCAATTGAGAGGCCAATGAAAAAACGGCTTCTTTCAGAACTAAACCCACTAGGAATAGAACCAGCAAACTTCAAAATTAAATTTTTAGATTAGGTAATGTAAACTAAGCTGGATAGCTGAGTGGTTACAGTGCTCGCCTTGTAATCAAAAGGTTGCCGGATCGATCCTGAGAAAAGTTAGTAGCTTTTTGCTGGTTCAAAACTGGAACCTGCTGTTCTTGACCATTGTGCTCTTAATAAATGATTATCCTTGCTAATGAAACAGCTGATCTTAGGCTGTTGACGCTTCTCAGATCATCTCACTCCATTCTTCACTCATATGTTTGGGTTAAAATACGAACCTAGGTAGCATCAGCATCTCCATTTAAATCGACAACAACAATAATCAACTTGTATGTATTTTCTCAGGTGGTTGGTTATGACGTCAGCAAGTACCCCAACGTAGCCAAATGGTTAGCCAAGGCTAAGTCTACACTTCCTGGCTACGCAGAGGCCAATGAGAAGGGAGTACAGATGTTCAAGGGGATGTACGAAGCACTCACCAAGAAGGCATAAGCTGTTCCTGTCAAGGAACTTTCGACTGTTACTTTCATAAAGTATTATACGTTCACTCCTCACTATGCATTAGATCATTCATTGTTTAGATGTTGTTGTTTATATGTTAACACACTAATGTGATAAATTAATGTAAAATGTGTTTACATGTTTCAATAAAACACGTTGAATACAACAAAAAGAAATCATTTCCTTGGGTTTTAGAGTTTTAAAACAATAGTTTGATAGCTAACTGATTATAATTCTCACCTAATTTCTGGATTCCATTTTCGCTTCCACAATGTCCATTCCATTTACACTAATATTTTCTGGATATTGAGAAGGCTGAACAATTTTAAACTAGGTACACAGTTATCCTTGATCTATCAAATGGAAAGTAGCCTGCTTCCATTTAAATATTAGATTATCTTACAACAAAATAAAAGTGTTTGAGTACACAGTACAACACCTCTCGTTACAAATGCTTACTTACTTGGATTAGAGAGGATTTCATAACAATGGGACCAATTTTTCTGTAAACATTACTGTAAGTTTTTACAATATTTAAAAAATGTACTCAAGCCACTCACCCGTTATTTAAGACATCTACACATACTTTAGTTTGAATTTCAAGTTAAATATAAGTGAAGAGTGAATTTACAACAAAGTAAAATTATCTATGTAGCTTTTTCAATGATAGACCAGCTGTTTCATATACAGGACCATTTATTAAAAGCCCAATTTATCAAGGATAGCTCCAGTTTAGACCCACCAAAAAGCTAAGATATCATACACTCAATTGACTCAATGCATATATCTCTCTAGACAATAAAAATAATTAAATCTAAATCATGAGAATTGTAGGGAAAGAAATAGATTCAACAGTTAAACGTGATAACAAACAGATATAGTATTTATTCTAACCATCCTGATAAATATAATTTCAAAAACTAACTAATACTGCATAGTCACAAGTGCACAGTTTATGTTCATAACATACAATAAATAAAACAACACCATAATAAGTGAAGAGGCAGAGAGGACTTGCTAGCCCTAACTTCCCCTCTCAAATAAAGACATTTTTCATTTCCATAATGCTTTGATTAAACAATAGTGTTTATAAATTTTAAATTTATTACACAAATTACTTTGAGGTTTTTCTGGCTATTAATCAAGTGATGTACGTAATTCATAACTTTTATTTTTAGAGGTAACAAAGTGATAAGCTCAAACAATTAAATTTTACCAAAAAAGACATGCATACTGAAATAAACAGTACAGTAAAATTACAAAACCACAATAATTGGCAATAGGAATGTACTATTGAACAAAAAACTATTAAACCTAATAGATGCAAAATGGTCATCTCTTAGCTTAATTTTCATAAGATAAATGCCGTTTACAAAATGCTTTCTGTAACTATTTTTGATTAGGCTACATACATAAAAAAATTAAACTTCAAAAAGTGTATGGCAAAAACAATGACACTCAACAAAACATTTCCAACACAAACAAATATTGATCGCAAAATACAGAATATGGATTGAAAAATTGTATCAGTTACATTCCAAGACTGAAGAATGATGAAACCGGTTTCATCCTGGGGTTGCTGCAGACCGGAGCTTATAAAGCAGCAGTCCGGAGATTGGAGATTATGAAGCAGATGTGATTTGCAGAGAGGTGACTAATCCCTCCAAAGCAGCAACCTGATCATCTTCAGAACACTTTTCTTGGTATCTGAAAAAAATAGGAGCATTGCAAGATCATAGATCCAAGATTGATGAATATACACTCTTCTTTAACCCTTTGAACCCTAAATCATCTACCATTTGTAATCTTATGAGTAGCATACTGGCCGTCTCTTGGAAGTAGCAACATATTAAACTTAGACACAGGTTAAAGGCTGAAAGGATCTGGGTTGCAATATGCTTTAGCACCTCCAACTTGCCTAAGAAGACTTCCCCTGGAAATTTGTTTATATTTAAGTAGCAAAAGATTTTATAATATTTGAGGGCTAAAATACTGATTAAAATTTATGTGTTTATGTTTTTAGAAAATTAAACTAAACAATATTGGCTCGAACGATTTTGATACAAATTTAGTATGTTATAGTCCTTTCCTTTTAATTCTGAACAAAATGGCACAATCCCCATTGCTGAAAAAATTGTGGTTTAAAGTTATTGCAAGTTTTGTGATTTTCCTACCAAATATCGTAGTTACTCCCACCACTTACCAATGATTGATAAAGGGTTGTTGACAAGCTAATAGGAGAAGGTATATGTTAGATTTCTGATACTGTTTATTGCTTATTCAGTTATACTAAGTTAGATAATCTTAACATTTTCGCTGCGAGAATTCCATTGGCCGGGCCGTCGGAATTGCAGCGCATGCCTCAGCGCGCCAGTGAATATGTGAACGCAATAGACATTTAAATATTTCAGCCTTGACAGCGGTGGTAATGGTGCTGTGTTACCCTGAGAGTGGACGTAGTTAACTGAAAAACTCACAGATAGTAGCACTGCCTGGATCCGTAGGCAGTGTCTTTGAAATGTGCTAGTAGACAGGAATCCCCGAAAATAGGACAAAAAGTGTTGCCAGACATGATTTTATGGGAAATTTTACTACCAACCTAAACCTAACCTACACCAATTAAAGTATAGGACCAGCACAATATGCTGACATGCTGATATGCTGTTTTTAGTTGATCTCCGATAGATGTAGAGGTCACAGTAGACCAACTTGTATAATACTGCACCGTGACTCCGACAAGAGTTGTCAGCAGCGAACATGAAGTGAATCTTTAGTTATTCCAGTCTTGTGTCGGATACAGTGGAAGTGGGAGCTCAAACCCATAGAGTCAGAATGATATAATTTATACAGCTACACAACTACAGTGGATACTATGGTTTGGTCGTTTAACACTACAATTACATCATCACACACGGAGATCTCGACTGAGTCATCAAAGTTTAAACACACAAATCACAAATACAGGGTGTCCCGTAACTCTCTGGACATATGTATACCTATAGTGTTATTGCTTAGGTCAAGACAAACACATTTATCATAGAAACATGGGTCTGTGGTGCCTTGTTTTCCGACTGTCTGTATTTATGTGTTTTTTTACAAAAACATTAATTACTCCTTAAGGGTTTGAGATACAGCGTTGAGATTTTGCAAAAATGTTTATCTTATTAGGTCTTATCTTTGCCTAAAATTATACTAAAAAATCATTAACCGTTTAAAAATGGCAGCCATTTAAAATATTTGATGCCAAATTTCACAAAAACCGTTAACTTAACGAAAAAATTGCTAGAGACAAAAAAGTTAGTATTTATAGTTTATAGTTAGTATAGTAAATTTTAGTTAGTCAGAGTAATGTCTACTTTTCCAAATGCATGACCACTTTTCTCCCAAAAATTATTTTTAGACGCTTAGATATTTGACACCCATACAAAGTCTAGCTCTTTAATGAAACTAGTGTGATTCCGATGGATTAGTTTTGGATGGATATTATTTAATAGCCTATAGTGGCCTAATAGATGTACGGGTAGTACCTTTCAGTTATCTGTTTCATAGCAAAGGCCGCCAGTTTGTTAGCCTCCTTTTTCTTCACAGATGTTGTCTTTGGAGACATGGCAATGTTGGTGGAGGTCTGAAACAAAAATAAAACTGTTGACAGAACAGTGGAATTAAAAAAAAGTAATGTTAATTTTTCTAATTCCATGTGTTTAGGCGTTTAGGGATTATAAAAAACAGGGATTTTTAAACCTTTCTTATAAACAAATTTTCTCTATAAGGTTTTACCATAGTTGGTACGCTACAACCTGTTGGTAATGGACTAATTCACTTTTCATTTTGAAGTCCTCAGCCAAAAACACCACTTGTTTGAATGTTTGAATTTATATATGTGTCTGTAAGCGCAATAATTCAAGCAATTGTGGTTAGATTGTGATTAAATTTGGCATGAATGTGTATGGCTGGATAAGCATGGTTAAGTATGGAAACCAGCAAGATAAGGTAATCAAAACAAGGTGTTAGAAGTTTTAATTTTTCAAAAATTGTTTATGAAACAATTATAGTTAAGACTTTAAAAATGCAGATCCGATTACATTTTTAAACATTGTGAGCTTAAAAAGACAATTTGTTTTAGGTATTGTTGTACAAATATTTTGTTGTACAACAATACCGAAAACAAAATCTGTTGTCTTTTTAAGCTCACAATGATTTAAAATGTAATGGGATTTTCATTTATAAAGCTTATTGGTTACGGAAAATCTAAAAAATATACATTTCATAGAAAAATCTATTTTCCTTCTCTGCAGCAGCAAACCTATTAATCTAATGTTATTTAGGCTTAATTAATGAATGAATCTGACACATTTATAAAAAGATTTGATTTGAGTAAAAATCCATCAGACAGATAAATTATCTTAATCAGCTGGTTTGCTGCGGTGTTGTATTCATACCTTTATTTATTAAGAACGAACTGTTTCATAGGATACAAATTACCAATCGTGTGAGCTAGTATCCAGCTAAAAAGATAACCAACAGTTTTATCTGTCTAAACGTACCAGGAATAGTCCATACAAAGCCCTCATGTTGTTGGGGTTCAGCTTGATGGCCATGCAATAGTGTGATCGAGCAATCTCCATGTTCTCAAATCCTCCCTGAAATAGGTAAAGTGGTTAAGTTGAAAAATTAAAAAATAATTATATGTGCTGCATTGAAATCCGATTTTTGGTGCTAAAAGATTCATTGACATTTACATTTGCTTTGGATTGCTTTGCATTGCATTTGGATTACATTTGCTTGAAGGTTTAAGCCATTTCTCCAGCTCTTGGTTAGTCTGGGTATAGCCTACTTAATGAAATAACTATTATTTAAAATTTATACATAAAAATAGAGTTGGTGTTGTCATAAACTGTACCTTTTTGCTTATAGACTTCTTAGGTATACAGTACAACCCCACTAATCCAAACCTCGGTTAGTCCGACTTCTCGTTTAATACGACCATGCTCTCTCCTATTGATTACTATGTTATCACGGTAATAACGTAACCATTTCCTTTGGTCGTGTGGACATCATTTCCGCCTCCAGAAATTGTGGCAAAAATCTTGTTTATTCCCCTCCGTCACACATACATCATAATCGTTCTTCGTTTTCTCACCTAAACTCTAAATATACTCATCAGTAAAGAAAAAAATCATCATCGTCTTACGCAATTGTGTCAAAATATTTTCTTTTGCGGTCACGGAAAAGTTATCGTCACACCCCGATTGACGATCCTGAAAAATCACATGGTCATGGAAAAATATCACCGTTGTCTCCTGCCATCACGGAAACTTTATTGTTGCTATCTGTGATCGTGGCAATCTCCTGAATATCTCCTGCAATAAAGGAAACATCATCATTGTCTACCTTGATTGTGGTAAAAAATCTTCTGCAGTAACTAAAACATTATCATCATCTTCCACGATTGTAGCAAAATCCTAGACTAACCCTGGTCATGACAAACCTCATCATCGTCTTTTGGCGATCGCGGAAAAGTCCTGTACATGCTCAGATAATCCGTCCTTTTCACTATTTTGAAAATACAGTCCCTGTCCAATTAGCGGGGTAGTACTGTAGCCTACTAATGTCTACACCAGTTTATTTGATCCTTATCTAGCAAGCTGTAAATTTAAGTCAGAATAGCTTAGAATGTTTTTAGCTCTTGGTCTACGTACAACTAGAGTTGTCCGTAAATTAAGCACTCCAACAAGACCATTCAAGACGGAGCAAACTAATTAATGTAAATTTACACCTATCTAGGGCAGCATTCTTCTACACATAAATAGCCAATACCTTAAATAATCAAAAATGTAATCATAAAATGCAATTCTAACGCCAGAAGCATTGATTTTCATTGCGATTGTTAAAATTTACTTTGATAATTATTTAGGGTTTTCAAGGGAAAGCCGTTTAAGATGCATGGCAACATTCAATCTTCAGTTGAATTGCAGCATGCTCCATAGATAGATTGCTGCACCCAAAACATAAGACAGAATTTCAACGAGGACAACAACGAATCCATCACCAAGAGGCCGAAATTTGACAGAGAAATTTTACTGTGGAAGCCTACATCATAGTTAATTTGGTACTTTGGTATTATCCGGAGGCTACCCTTATACAGCGTGCTGCAGCGGTTATGTTAGGTTGGGTTATCATAAATATGTTTGTAGGACTTTTCTCGTTTTGTTATGAATCGAACAAGACCAGATGAGTCATACTTTCGCCCACCAAATCTCCTCCATGTAGGCCAAGGTCAGTTCGTTGACCAGAGCGTGGGCATCACCTGTCACCGCCTGTATCTCTGGTATTGTTATTCATCTGGTATCGTTCAATTCATAACAAAAGGAGGAAAACCCTACAAACATATTTTTGATAACCCAACGTTACATGACTGCGCGCTGTATACATATTTAGCGGGGTAAATATGGCAGCTAGGGGCGGTGACATATTCAATCCAATCCTCGCCGACATCGCTTTCTTCTAGGAGGCAGAACTCAAAGGCTGCTAATCGTAATCATGTCAAATTTAGACAGTAAGTCAATTAAAGTATGTTCTTTCTAATTATATAGTTATTATTTGCCTCCAGTAAAAAAATCCCTCTAAAATAAGTGGCCTCCAGATAATACCAAAGTACCATTAATCTATCATTATACTCCTTCTTGATCGTGGTCTATTGAAGTGCACTTCTTGTTAAGTAACAAACCTAACTTAATTTGGCTTTGGTTTCATATCTTGATTGGCAATGAATTATGCAAAAAGTAGCTGTCAGTTACCTGTGTGTATTTAATCTCTGCCAGCCTCTGATGAAGCAAGTGACTGTGTGGGTTGTGCAGTATGAGCTCCTCCATACAGAATGCAGCTCTGCCGTACTCTTGCTCACTGAGGTACAGATCACACAGCTCCTGCCAGGCCTCCTGGTCAACCATGAACCTACAAGTGATCTCATGTCAATAGTACAATACATAGGCCTACAAGTGACTGTGTGGGTTGAAATAAATATGGGCTAATATTTGTCTTACAGTTACCTGACAAAATGGGCTCTCTTGTACTGATTATAGCATGCAAAGTAGCTAATTGCTGCATTTACTTACTTTTGCCGCTCTCATTTTTTTTGCCGCACTCCAGTATTTCAACCGGAAACGAGAAAGAACAGCATGCTTTTATTAGGCACGTAATATGTGTACGCTTGAAAATAAGTTGGCAATACTACAATCAGCTGTTGCAGTGTTTCCCATTTCGTTCAATGCTTGGATTTAACTTAACCTAAAACTGTCTTAGAGCCTAGGCCTACACATACAGTGTACACAAAGAGAAGAACAGAAGAGTGTACACATGTACAGTAGAACCCCGGTTTCCCAAAATAAAGGGGAGAGAGCCATTTTGGATAACCAGTTTTTCGGTTAACCCGACATATGCTAAAAATAGCCTATTTATTACCACTTGTGTGGGAAAAATGAATTTAAAACAACGTCTATATAATAGTGTTTTATTTCTGCTACATAAATGTTACATTGGGTCAGAAAATACTTGAAACTAAACAATTGAAGTTACTAAAGCATTTTACATTAAGTATTACTGATATCTTAGCCCAGTATTATTTTATAGAACCGTTTCGGTTAACCCAAACTCGGTTAACCGGGGTTCTACTGTATATTGCATCAGATGCTTATCCATTGAAATGATGCTTCCTCTATCACTAACAACATGTACGAACGGTAAAGACAGAACTACTTACTTCTTCAAATATTCTGTAAGTTCTTTGATGGCTTCTGGAATTTTGCCACAAGCTTTTAAAATAGCCACACGTCGTTTTCGTGGTGCAGCATTTGTTTTGTCTTTCTTGATTATATTCTGCAACAATTCCAACGCTTCTTCATACCTAAAGATAAGAAGATTTGGGTAAAGAACATTTAGTCTGTGTCAATTCTAGTCAAGGTCTAAAAGCAAAGAGTGGCTAAAAACTGAATCATAAGAGAAATAAGATGACAGAGAATATTGAAAGACCACAAAACGAATTGCAATAAATCATATAGCCTTAGGGAATTTAATGCTGAAACAAAAACATCTAGACAGGAAGTAGAAGGTAAGCTTTACCTAGTCAAAGAGACTTATCGGTTCACTAGGGAAGCTTATGCTTCTAAATCATTGATAATCCTATTCCAACTACAATTATATGATTTTTGTAAGTTATAATTATCGGTACCAACACCAGTTTTACTTACGATGCAAGCATTGACTTTGGGTACTGCTGGCAGACCTCTCATTCTATTACGTGTGCATTGATGTTGAATCAAAGTTTTTCTCCTATCTTAGGGCTAATTTTAATATATTTCGCTTACATCAGTACCCAGGGCCTGAGTACCGGTACCCGTTAGGTTAATTAGGCTGGAACCTAGGGCGCCTGTAAGCCAAGTGTTTTAGGGGGGCGCCAGACAGCTAAGACTTAAAGTTGGGACCGGGGGTGTAAAACACTAGTGCAGCACGACACGGACGGGTGGCCGTCATGGCATTTGTTTAACATTTAACATATGGCAAAAAATTGCAGGTTGTCCGTTGCCGGCGTCCCTGGGACGGCGGCATTTTCCACCATATGTTCAATGTTAAAAATATTCCGTGACGGCCGCCCGTCCGTGCCGTGCCACCCTAGTGCGAACGAAGCTTTAAAAGTTCGTACTGTGAACTTAGTTTAAACAAAGTCTGTACCTTCTGTATCTATACTCAACCAGAATTAGTAGTGCCTATGACTATGACATATTGTTCAGCTCTTAAATTTAAAACATTATCTCAAAGTCAAGATTTGCAGTTTTAAAAGTTCCTAATCAAACCTTGCATTTATTTATGATCAGTTTTCTTTTGTTTTTAAATAAACTGAATAGTAGTATAATGCCTTTGATAATTTTTAATATTTGAATTCAGTATTAGTATTCATACTTTGAAATTTTGAAAGTGGTGGCAGAGAGGAGGGGTAGTGGTAGGGAGGAGGAGGGGGCGTGAAAAAACGTCAGCCTACTGGCGATTATAGACCCTAAATCAGGCCCTAAAAGTACCAGTAGTATTCTAACAGCCGATATCTTTCTATCTGGGTTTTTCTCTCTCTAAACTTAACAAAATGAAAATTGATATATCTGTTAATATTAATAACTATACTTTTATAAAGTAATGCCATTTATACATAATTCATTTAGGCCTACTTGTAACATCCAAAAACTATAGGGCTTAGGCCTAATCATCATAACTCAAAACAAAGCTCAATTAAAACCAAAACAAACAACAATAAAAAAAATCAATAACATACCGGTATTAGGCTAATAAATATATGACCTCTACCAACAATACATCAATGTGACCAAGAGTTATGGTACATAAACCATAAAACTGGCTTCCGCTGATCCATTAGGATAATTAATCTACACGGAAGTATTGTTTAATCTATGGAAAGAGCTTTAGGCCTAGTAATATACTAGGCTAATCCATTAGGCCTACCTCTCCTGTGCTTCTAGTTTCATGACCTGCAGTTTGTAGATTCTGAGGCTGTCTGGGAAAGCTGCTGTGAGAGCGTGAAGGCACTCGTTCGCTACATCAATCCTGTTACAGTCTAAAGCGGCTACAAACACTTGCTCGTAAGCTACATACTCTGCAACACAATAGTTATCCATATATAAAGCCCAAAGTACCCATGAACTTTTGAGAAAACTACAAGTCACACCCCCATAAACCTTATACTTAAAATGTCCATAATGACGAGAAACTTTGCGCAAAACCATTCATTATTTCATAAATTTCCCTTTAAGGTCGTAATTCCTTTCTAAAGGGAACTTTCCACACAAATACCTCAGCTGTACTTAATTGTACGTTATTCTTTCAATGTATTATCTATTAAAATCAGGTGTGATTATTTGTTTGTATTACTGTATTCTGTTTTGTTTTCTTCCAGCTTAACTTAACCAATCAATAGTTTTATTAATGCTTATGAAGTCAAACGGGGTGTAGCCCGTGGGTAACAGCTAGTTTTTGTTAGGCCTAATATGAATTAATCTCGACATTCCGAAACTGATGGTGCCAGAAGATTAACTAAAATAATACCGGTACTAAATTTAGTTCATAGACTATAAAGACTCAACGTCTTATTGTGTAAACCTCGCTTAACCTACATTTTTCAAATAAATCTTACTGTTCTTACTGTTTTCTTCTGTTCTTAAAGATAATCATATGATTTAGGCTTACTAACTCTTTGTGCACCATGTCTTGTAGGCCTAAAATATTTTCAGATATGAACCAATAACCTGCATCCCCATTACTTATCTTGCAATCTCATTGACTAAATTTATAGCTTGTCACAGTAATCCTTGATCAACTGGATTTTAATAATAAATTATCCTATCCTAACTATAGAACCAACAGTTCTTAGTCAGTCACAAAGATATACATAAGTCATCTCGCTCCGTTCTACACTTACTCTGCATGCATTAGCTAGAAACACGTACCCGTGTGTGCGCCGTTATAAATAATTGATGGTTTGATTGTTGATTCATCAGGGGACTACCTTATAACTTATAAGTTTAAATGCTTAAAGTCAGGCACTTGAGTTCAACTGACTAATAATCAAACCGGGCACAGCAAATGTATGAAGGATGTCCAAAAATTAAAGTCTCCAACAATCTCGGAACAGTCCCAGATAAGAGATCTAGTTCAAATTTGACACTAGGGTCTTGTTCTAAGTTACTTCATCCATTATTAATGTACCGTTCCCTTACAAAAAACGTTAAAAAATTATAATGGCATAGATACACACAAATAAAATAATCTAGCCTGTTTCAACCCAAATGGGAAGATTAATAAGTCCAATCATAAAAGCCAAAAACAATGTTATAAATACCTCAGCTGTAGCCTACTTAATTGTATGTTATTCTTTCAATGTATTATCTACTAGCAGAGTACCCGTCCTTCGTACGGGGTTGGCATATAAGTTTAAATTGCTTATTGCTGTTATACTCAAGCTTTGCGTTTGCAATGGGGGAGGACAAAGTATGATAAAATAAAGATAAATAAAGTATTACAAATTTTAAAAATCACAAATTATTCATGACATTAAAAACATAAACATAACTGTAAACAATCCTACTTTGACAGTTCTCATTGTGTAATGCAAAAAATATATAGTGCTGCACCCTGTTGGTAAATCTTATAACTTCTTAATGCTTTTGTTAGTTTTGTATATCATAGAACCAACTTTTTAGTTGAAACAGCTGACTAAATTCTTTAATTCCCTTTAACTATGAATACTCATAAGGTTAACATGGGGAACTACAGAGCCACTGGGGCGGAGCCCGAAGGGATTTTTGAGATAAGAATATGCCTATATGTTAATCGGGAATGTGAGCTATCATCATGCCAAATTTCAGCCCAATCCATCCAGTGGTTTATGCGTGATTGACCTTCAAACACACAAACAAACAAACACACAAACTTTCACATTTATAATATTAGTAAGATTAAAATCAGGTGTGATTATTTGTTTGTATTACTGTATTCTGTTTTGTTTTCTTCCAGCTTAACTTAACCAATCAATAGTTTTATTAATGCTTATGAAGCCAAACGGAGTGAAGCCCCGCCCACACTATTGAGGGCGGCACCAATTTGACACTAGACCATCAAATCTGAATTGTGTTCTTTATTTATTGGTCTAAATTATACTATTTCCAAAATAATGTAGAGAGATGTTTACATAAGAACATTTGATTTAGGTCATGGAGTGTGAAATCCCGTGTTCAAGGTCGCAGCGCTTATGCAGAGTGTAAAGTCATAAGTAGCTCAAACAGATGGTTACTATACAAAACAAACATCACCAGCCTGCTACAGAATCAACAGAAATGTCCATTTCTCGTCCACAAAATCTACAACTACTATACATATATGATGAGGGAATTTTTACCCACCCCCCCTGAAACAATTATAAGCTGGGTAGAAAGTAACTACAAAATTTAAGTTGATTTTGAGTATCACAGATTATTTACTTACGTTCGTCTCCAAGTTTGTGTATTTTATCTTGAAATACTGAATCCCACATTGCAATTACGTCGCTGCTTTGTCTAACATTCTCTTCTCGCCAAATTCTCAGCTTGTCTCTAACATCTAAAAAATTCAATGATTTACAAAAAATTAAAACAAACATGAAAAAATCCTCTGCCTCTCCCACTCACTAACTTACTCACTTAGTCACTAAACTCGACTTTCCTGAAAAAAAAAACCCTTAACTTAGAAGTGATTGACACTACCAGAACGAGTTTTTAATACTCAGCACATTCCTACTTCAATAGTGTAACTAAAATGAATAAGCAATTATTATTCCACATTTTATCTTATAGCCTACAACAGTACAGTGGGGGGAACTAGGGAGACTTGACCCAAATTTTGGTTTTTTATTTTTAAAGTTTTTCCCTCTTTGGGGAGGGTTGTATAAAAATGTTAATAAGTTAAAACAGTTTGTTATTTTATGCACACTGTTGAAAAATATCAGAACTAAATTTGTTTTAGAAAATAGTGAAAAAAATGTTATTTCAAAAGTCTGAACTTGGGTCAAGTCTCCCTAAGTCTAGGGAGACTTGACCCAATACCTAGGGAGACTTGACCCAACATTAAAATGGAATGCTTCTTGGTATAAAATAAAAACTACTCTCTTGAAAATGATGAAAACAACAATTCTTTATTAAACTAACACTCTTTTTGGAAACAGGACATTTTAATAATGTTAATTTTAACTTGGAAAAAAAATAAGATGATATTCCAAAAAAAACTTAGGCCAAGGAAGATTTTCTTCTTAAATCTGTACAAAAGATAGGCCTATATTTATTTATTTACTCAGCATCAACATCAAAACTATATTTAAATTCAAAACTTGTCATTTTGTACCAAGAAATGTGGAGGGGGAAGTTTTGTTTCCACCTTTTCTTCATCAATAACCGTAACGTCTTCGTTTTCAGGCCAAGGTAGGTAATAATAATGTACCGTAGGCAAAGGTATTAGACATTAAATTTTAACTTAATTATTGCTAAAAAAGTTGCTAATTTGGCAGTTTAAATTCAAAATGAATTGGATTACAATAAATAATAGGCGTAGTCGAATCTGTCTTCAGTATGAAGTCAATTTATGTCTTTTTCATTCTTTGTTTTTAGATAAAATATGTTTTTATAATAATTTGTTAATGCTATTTAAGTGGCATTGTAATTATTTCTATCTTAAATTGTAATAAAACAGTAGAGCTACATATAGTTCTAAACAGAACATAAAATGTCTAGTGATAAATATTGGGTCAAGTCTCCCTAAGTGTGCTGGGTCAAGTCTCCCTAGTTGTAACTGATGTGTTTAACCTCAAATTCTGCCCACTTGGGTGTGAGTAACATGATGATGTGGAACAAATATTATTATATATCAAAAAGAAGCACTTCGTATCATGTTAAACATTCAAGATTGGAGAACCTCAGTTAAAGAACAATTTTCAAAACTTGGTATTCTTACTGTTTTTGCCCAATATATCTTTGATTTGATCTTGTTTGTAAAGAATAATTTACCAAAATTTGAGACCTTGGGTTCATGCCACAGCTATGGGACAAGGCACAGACACAAAATCAGTTTTTCAAATCACAACTTAAAATTCTTTGAAAATAAACCTTCATATGCTGGGATTAAATTTTATAACCATCTACCAGATAATATTTTACAAATAACAGACAAAAATAAATTTAAAAAACAGCTAAAAACTTTTATGTTATCTAAGCCCATTTATTCCCTAGATGAATTTTTTGGATGAATGTGTTGTAAATTTGTAAGTTATAAGATTTGTATTTTTGTTTAGCCTTTTTATATAAGTTATGGTTAGTTCTAACAATATAATTTAATTGTATAACGCCATTCTGGTGCAACATGTTGTACTGCTGAATAAAGATTATATGACTATGACTATGACTATGATATTATTTTATACTATTGTGTAGCTAAAAAATTGGCACAAACAAATATAACATTGAAATTTTCTTAACTTATTATTGTTGGCTTGGACTTAACAAAGTTAAAGTTCTTCACCTTTTACGTTTTGGTACCTGAAATACTAAACCTTAAACTGACTCAAGGCCCCTGTACTTTCTGCAGTTACTGTTCCCTCCAAAAAACTATTAGGTTAGTGGTCAGGCAGTGTTGCCAGTAAAATTTCCCTCACATTTCCCTTTCATAAAAAAATACCCTTGGGTCAAGTCTCCCTATGGGTCAAGTCTCCCTAGTTCCCCCTACGCCTAAGTGAGTTAAGCTAAAGCCGTGTTTACACCAAAATATTCCTCTAGTGGCGGAAATTAAGTTAGGCTAGTTGCTTTATCTACAAAATACAGCAATTTTTCCTGTCTCGCACTGGTGGAAAGACAAGCCTTCCACTAAATTTTGGTTTCCCCGGAGCGTTGGTAAAGATCAAAGACAGTTGACAGCTAAAAGTGGAAGATTAGTTGCTACGGGCTTTGCCCGGGTACAGTTTCTAAACATATGCTAATATCGATTGAAACTATCAAATCGAAAATATTGATTACCTAATAATCAATATTTTTAAATTTATCTATTATAAAATTAAACTATCATAACCTAACCTAACCAACCAAACTTGCTGATGGTGAAAAAATCGCATGAAGGTTTACTAATCGAATCGATAGTTTCAATCGATATAAGGTTAGCATAGCCCAGTTAAGAAACTGTACCCCTTTGCCCAAGCAACTTGTTTCAATCTAGTGGGGAACTGCCCCCCTCCACCCACCTCGGATGTTGCGTCAGGCGGTAGCATCCCTCTCAGCCTGCTAAGTTACACCTCACAAAAAATCTTCCACTAACTTACTTGCTCAAATTTGTCAGGAAAAACTTTTAGTTGTAACCTTTGGGTTGTAAACTTTTAGCCTACAGTAGTTTTCAACTTTGAGTACCTAAACACGCCTTCAGCTTATCTTAAACTAAACTCATAGTAACTTATGTAGGCTTGTAGGGATACCATTTTCACTCGATGATGTGTGTCACTGTGCGAGCCTTTTATAAGTTAAAAAACATTGTTTTAATGTAGGCTATTTATAGCTCAATGATGAATATGAGATCGGGATTCAAAATTAAACCTTCATTCGAATCCATTTCTAAATTTTATAAGTTTGAGTTGTTAATTCAGTCATTGTTGACTTGGCCTAGGACCTACACCTGATTAGTGATTACTTTAACATCTCTACCTTTCAAAATAGCCTAATTTAAAGTGTACAGGTAGCCTATTTTAAGAAGTTATGTTTAATCGTTGAAAGTACCAACTTCTTGGGTTGTAAATTAAGTTAGGTCTTATCCTTAGGTTTAATTTTATATGAAGTAGCTTATAACCTAAACCTACCTGTCCAGTTCATGTTATTGGCGGAATCGGGAACGAGCTGAACAATTAGACAAAGAATTAAGCCGAATGAAAGAATCTTTGGCCGTAGGACAGCTGATCTGATTAAAGTGTATTCCCTCTTCCCTGAAATAAATAGGATCTTGCAAATGAATATCAATCACTGTTTCCGCTTTGTTCAATTGAATCAATTGGGATTAGCAGACAGACGACAGACGGCACCATGAGAAGAGCAACTTTAGCTTCAGCTGTGCAGCTTGTCGTCAGCCACGCCGCCATAGAGTAATCTGATGAAAACTTTTGTTATTATTGCCTATAAGCATTGACTTTATATCTACACATTTCAATCCATGAGACCACGATGTTCTATACATTTTGTCTAAACAATCATGAACCTTTTACAAAAAAGATTACGACATTGACATTTTTGTTCATTAGTGAAGAACATAGATGAAGTATACTGGCATGAATGTTTTTTGTTGATAAAAGCTTTTTCCTACAGTTACCTAACAATGTACATGTTCTTTCACTGATTTGAGAAAGCAAAGTGGCCAATTCGCTCATCAGTTGTTAACATTGTCTCACTCTAATTACTTTGTCTCACTCCAGATTTGCAACGTGAAGGCACGAAATAGTGAGCGCGTAACATGCAGGCAACGTCGTATGCGCGCGAAATACGTTGGCAGCACTGGCTGTAAATCAGCTGGTCAGCTGTTGTACTGTTGTATTTGTCACTTCACATTAAATGTTATATTAAAAGTTATATTAAACGTTCTCTCACTGATTTGAGAAAGCAAAGTGGACTATTCGCTCATCAGTGAGACAATGTTAACATTGTCTCACTCTAATTACTTTGTCTCACTCCAGATTTGCAACGTGAAGGCACGAAATATTGAGCGCGTAACATGCAGGCAATGTCGTATGCGCGCGAAATACGTTGGCTGCACTGGCTCTAAATCAGCTGGTCAGCTGTTGTACTGTTGTATTTGTCACTTCACATTTAATGTTATATTAAAAGTTCACTTCTGTGTAAAAATAGGTTATGTTTCTTCACCAATTTATTTGTTTAATGGTAACTGTAGGAAAAGTATAATGTGCAACTCGAGTTCAAAGTACAATTGCCTCACTCGAGAAACCATTCCTCACTCGCCTTTGGCTCGTGAGTAAGGATTTCTCTGGAGTGAGTCAATTGCTCACTTTTCTCACTAGTTGCACAAATAACTAATTTCCGTAGTTTTAATTATTTGACGGATTTTTATTAAATGACAAAAAAGACGAGCTTACAGTAATTTGTGTATTCATTGGTAATACAATGACAGAATGAATTTTGGTGACCACAATGACTTTTTCCTACAGTTACCTAACAATGTACATGTTCTCTCACTGATTTGAGAAAGCAAAGTGGCCAATTCACTCTAATTACTTTCTCACTCTCACTCCAGATCTGCTACGTGAAGGCACATTTCTTTACCAATTTATTTGTTTTATGGTAACTGTAGGAAAAATATATGTGCAACTCGAGTGCAAAGTGCAATCGCCTCACTCGCCTACGGCTCGTGAGTAAGGATTTCTCTCGAGTGAGGCGAATTGCTCACTTTGCTCATTAAGTTGCACAAATAACTATTGTCATTGAATCTTCTATTCAGTAAATAGTGGCATTTTTTTGGTCTATGAAAGCATAAATTAAGATTACAGAATCTCATGGGCTATATTAACGAAAAGATTAATGTTCTGTGAATAATTAATTGTTGTCTCTTTAAAATTCTCTAAAAAATTTAACAGCTTATTATTTTTTCATAATTATTGTCGATTCCTTTTAATTGGTAACTTACAGCTTATAACACAGCTAAGCTACAGCTACATATTGACAGTTGTGGCATAGATAAAACATACACAAGGGCGTAAACATCAGGATAAAAAACTAGGGGGTGGGGGCAAGAGCGTACTTGAAACAGGGACCGCTGGGGGTGGCCCGCCAGGGGCCTGGGGACCGGCAGGTATGGAATGCCCATACATTTATGGAATACAGTAGGGTTCTTCCCCGCAAAAATTTTAAAACAATATGCTGAAAGCATATTGTTTTATTTAATTTATTGTAATATTAATTAATTTATTGTTGTAATATTAATTAATATTTAATTTATTTTTTGGGTTAATCAATGAAACCCATTGATTGACAAGGAAACTGATTTTTGTTGGAATCTTAACTCTGCAGCATCATGTGCCCATTTGTAGTATTGTGTTAATATTGTGAGAAATAATTGTTGATTCAAATACAGTCTAGGTAACAAGTTTTTTTAAAATAAAAGAATCAACATTTTTTGCAGTCCACAGCGGCCTCATAAAAGTGTGGAACATTTCAAGTCAAACAAGAAACTGCATTGATAGATTTTCAGTAGTAACAGGTAACCTAGAAAAAAATGGGAATGTTTTTTTTAAGGTACCTAAAGGTTTAAATCTTTGTTTTGTTAGTATTTAGCGTCTGCCGTCTAACACACGTGGGATACAGTTCTTAAGGTTAAATTATGAACAATAACAAGGTAAAACCAACACAACAAACATTATTTGTAATGATTTAATTACATTTTCAAACAATACATTTGAAAATGAATCACAATACACATTACATTTACTTATTCCAAAGAAACGTTTAGTACATGAATAAACTAAACATATCTGCAAAGTGAACCTATAATGGACGGTAGATATTTAATTCACTCGACATTGATAAAAAACCTTATTTTTAACTAGATATCGACACCGATTTAAACTGTTTACTAGATTATTTACAAAAATTTTAAATTTAGACATTTAACACTGATGCTACTAAGCTATGAACACTGGAAGCTACAAACACCCATTTCTGGTCAAGGCACGTTGTCGGGTAGAATATTTTGGCTTTTGATTCACAACAGGTAGAAAATGAAGAGTAAATTGAGAAAAATATTCATATTCTCCGTGAAATTATAATTAGTCAAATAAAAGAAATATACAGACATTATCGACTCCATTTGACAGTTTCATTCCACATTGAATGAATTGTAGCGTGCAGTGTAAATAACTAGTAAGTAAGAACAGATGAATTACCAGTTAAGATCCCCAGCAAAGCAACAACCAAAGCCCAACCGCTTACCTTCGACAAGAAGTCTAACCCACCCGTAGTTGTGAAATGTTACTGATAGGCATAACATTATCTACATGAAAAAATTATTCTGCATTTTGATTTATCACTATGTGTCATGACAAGAGTTTATGAATACAACACCACTAAAAATAATACTTTTCATGCTTTTTGCACACAAATAAATTCTTTGCTGTACCATTAGTTACACAACTTGAACTAATACCGTACTTTTTTTGGCCTCTGAGGACATCAAAACGATAAAAGTAAATCGGTCCAGGGTCTAGGTATTAGCATGCACCCTAAGGTAATAGATTCTACCCTAAAGGCAAAATTTGCTAAAAAATATAAAACAATTGTTTTTGCATTCTTTTTGGGGTGTTGTATTCAATGATTGAATAAATAACTAATATTGCACCTCTTTTTAAAGAAGAAAGGGGAAAATGTCTTTCAAAAAAGGGAAATTACGCAGATTTTTACTTGGTCTATGTAGTTTATAATCAGATTTTTATTTGTTATTGATAAAGTCATAATAGTTTAAACTTAGGAGGTAATATTGTTTAATAATCATGACATTACTTAAGCTTAATTAATTTATAGTAGTCAAACATATTTTTGTTTACAATTTATTATAAAAAATGTATTAAATTATCTTAAATACATAGGAATGTTTATACATTTTATGAAGATGAATACTTACAGTTAAATACTTTACCCAATACTTTATTAGTTTTTATATAGTAAACTATACAAATACAGTTAAAAAATAAGTCCCAGCCATTCTTTTTAGGCATTTTCACATTAAAAGAATTTAATTCAACAATGAATGATAAATTCATTCTGTAACAAAAACTTAATTTCTAGTTATTGTATTAATTTACGTGAGTTACAAATGTCTACATTAATAACTGAAGTGCTTGGTGGTTAGTCAATAAATAAATAGTTAATCAAATCAATTAATTCTTTTCAGTGCTGTTTAACAATGGTTCAAACACAATCCTTATCTTACCTCGAAATACTGCAAGGATTTTTAAATTCAAATCACATCGAGTCAGTAATAAATAATGCGTAGAAAATCGCCATTTACAAATCCACAACATAAATAAGACGTTATACAATTAAAAACAAGAATAAAATCTCTCCAACTCACCGACCGTACTGTGATGCTAACATAAAATTATACATTAAAACAACATCGTAGGATAAAAATTACATATAAAATATAACACCTGCATTATAAAATACTTTAAATTAATTTATATATTACATGATTCATAGAGTTATGAATGTGAATGTAACGGTATATATAGTTTATGTTTAGTATGGGAATGGATTAAATAATGGAAGATGCACGTCTTAGATTAAAACAAAGAGGGATACAAATAACTGAGTCTGCTGAGCTTTGATATGGATCTTCACTGGCTGCCCCTCTTTGACTTTTTCCTTCGCCGTCGCTTGGTCGTCGTTTCCTCGGACGTAGTGGTGGGAGGTAGCGGAGAAGTAGGAGAGGTTGCCGAATGCTCCGATTCTTCCTCCCCTTCCCCCTCTAGGGGTTCCGGGGTGCTCAGTTCTAGAGAGATTATCTTCTCTCTCGTCGTTTCCACCTTGAAGAAAAATGAAATGTTAAAGGTGTATACAATAAACTAGAAGATGGGGTTAGTTGTGTTAAGTAAATTTATGACGGAGAAAATGTACACCACCAGTGGATAAAATGTTTATTCTAGAACAGGCTACAAATGAATTGGCGAAATTCAGGTAACACAAAATGTAGAGTTTTAGTGACCGTTGTCCTAAACAAAATGTAAATTTTATATAATATATTAATATTATAACTAATGTTCACAATCTAGTCGTAGCATGTAATTTATATACCCTATATCACAAATTTTGCTATAACCAAAAGAAATGTCTATGGTCAATAAAGAGTTTGAATTTATTTATTTCACTGACAAGTTAAAGCAAATATCCATAAACTGCTCTATGGGCTCCACACGGTAAGGGATGAATTGTTAACAAATGTAGGGGTTGAAGACAAAGAGAGGAAAAAGCAAGACCTAGATGGTTTGTACATCTAAGAAGAATGAGATAAGAGAGCATTTATGGGAGAATGCAGTGATGGTAATATTGGGAAGGATACCAAAAAGAACATGTATAAGAAGGTGGATGAATGAGTTTGTTTTTTTAGCAAATTATAATTAACACTAAACAACTATTCCACATTAACCTTTACTAGAATTAGAATATGTTTTCAGAACTGATTGTATAAGTTATCATGGATAAGTAGCCTGTCAAATAGTTTGACTAGACTGTGTTGATTGAATAAAGATTTGGTTAAAATCTACATAATACATTACAGATTTGAGATTTGGTTTTAGTTCTTGGTTGGCTTAACATTCTAAAGATTAAAAAAACACAACCAGGAAAGTTTGCATGCCTTTATTTTATTAGTGTAATTTGTGAAGCCTTGTATCACATTCCTATGTTTGACATGCAAAAAAGTTAGAACAAAGACAGACAGAGTGTAACACCATTGAAATAGAGGATAACCCTAAAAAAAGAGTTTTACAATAAGACTTGCCTATCCATCTAAATTAACGGAAAATTAATTTCAAAGAACTAAAAAGCATAAAGGAATATTATGATAGATTGATATTACTAACATTACGTATCATGAAAATATCTGAATGAATAACAGCAAGTATAGGTAATAATTTAGTCCCTTATACAAATTTAAGTTAAACACCACCTTGTGAAATATACCACAGAGAAAAATGACGAGTTAGAAAAATGAAATTATAATAATATTTTATAGGTTGTTGAAAGTAAGCTGTTTTTTTAAAATTATTTTAGAATCCTTATATTTTGATGATTGTTATTAAATTATTTATGTTAACCCTCGGAGTGTCCCTTGTTTTGGCCTTAATGTCTGCCTATTTTTTGCTCATTTGCAAGGTTTTATTAAAACGGATCCGAGAAGCTTGAAAACAATGTTTATTATACTGTTCTATATACCATTTTGTTTGGAAAATCATGGGCTTCAATATTATACATAGAACATAAGGAACATTTGTTTCAAAAAATTTTTTTAGGTAAAAAAAATTTTTTGGAAAATTAAAAAAAAAAAATAAGTTTGCGCTCAATGAAATTGTATAAATTATAAGCCTATAAATATTTGAAAATAGCCACTTTGTTCTAAATTTTATGAGGATTACAAATATATAATAATATAAGGAAGTAGATTTGCAAATAAATAAGTTATGGGCAAAAAACAGATAAGTACATAGCGTTTAGCTAAGATTGCATAGCCTAACCATAGCTAGGAATCTGGCTGATAATTTACATCAATATCACTACCTACTTCTTCAGGATCATCAACCAGCCCTTCAAAATCACTTAAATCTTCTTATAATCCACCACGTATATCACTACTTTTGATTTTTAACACTAAAACAATGATAAACGTAATAAAACACATCAGTCATCGGTCCGAGGTTAACCCAAGCTGTTTACAAATACGCACGTCAGCTGTCTGCTTCAATATTTTCGGAACTAAAATGAATAGCGCTTAGAGACAGACCTCCGGAGAAAGCTCTGAATCTGTCAAATAAAACGATACCTAACTCGATCCAGTTCAATCCGATTTTGTCAGTCATAGAGCCTTCGCCGTAAACAGTGTTTGTGAGTCGCTGCAGCGACAAATAACACTCGGAGGGTTAAAGGAAAACATTGTTTTAGTATATATATATCCATCTTATATACAAAAAAACTTTTGCAAAACTTATGACAGCTAGCCTGATCATACCACTGGACCGAATTACACGTGGTTGGTACCAAATGAAAGATATTTACCAGTAGATGTGCAGAATCCCTTGAATTGAATTAGGCTCACAAATAAGCAGGAAAAATTAATTTGAAATCTTTAAAAAAAATAACATGGGTCTTATGGGTTGCCATGGTGATGACGAAATAACGACAAAATATTAACAGAAAATCAAAACAAATGGAAGATATTCCAATCACATGTTTTATTTACAGTGTGTGGGGAAAATAGAAAAGTCTGTACATTACATATTTATGTTTGGGTTTTCAACCATGGGGCGACCTCTTGGAACATATTATATAAAAATACTTATGGAGACTTTTCTTATCTTTGGATATTTAACATGGGACAAAATTTTAAAGCTTACGACAGCTAGCCTGACCATACTACTGGACCGATTTACATGCCTGTTGTACCAAAAGAAGGTTATAGAAGAAATCTAATCGCATGTTTTATTTACAGCGTAGGGTTAAAATAGAGAAGTTTGCACAATACATACTTTTAGTTTTTGACCACGGGGCGAGCTCTCGTATCAGTCTAAAGTTAAATAGATTGCATGAATTAAGAAATGTTTAGGACATGCTATAACGTACTTAATGATACTTTTAGCTGACTAAGACACATGCATCAGGTCCATGCATGATCATGATCATGCAAGTCTGCTTTGACACATGCTTTTTATTACAAACTATTATTATTCATGCAGTTGTATTCTTAAATTACCCCCGTAAAACTTAAATATTCAATAGGTAAAATATCCAAACAAGTTAGATCCATCAAATGCAAATGGTACAAACTTGTAGGGATGGACGGGTCCCAAAATTTCGGGAATTTTTCGGGAAAAAAATATTTCCGATTATCGGGACAGGATTACATTTGATTCGGGAATTTTTCGGGACGGGATTTGGTCCAATCGTTGGCGATTTTGCCGCTTCCCGAGTGCCGATCACGCCGCTATTGCGAGCGATAGCGAACGCAGGAGACGAAGTCATTTCGACGATCGCGCCGTGACCGCGGAGTCCTACCGACGATAGTGCCGTGACCGCGAGTCATACCGACGATCGCGCCGTGACCGCGGAGTCCTACCGACAATCGCGCCGTGACCGCGGAGTCATACCGACGATCAGGCCGTGACGGCGGAGTTATTCCGACGATCATGCCGTGACCGCGAGTCATACCGGCGATCACCCCGTGACCGCGGAGTCATACCGACGATCACGCCGTGACCGTGGAGTCCTACCGACGATCGCGCCGTAAACGCGGAGTAAAGCAGATGATCGCGCCGTGACCGTGGAGTCCTACCGACGATCGCGCCGTAAACGCGGAGTCATGCAGATGATCGCGCCGTGACTGTGAGTCATACTGACGATCATGCCGTGACCAAGAGTCATACCGACGATCATGCCGTGACCGAGAGTCATACCGACGATCATCCCGTGACCGGGAGTCATACCGACGATCACCCCGTGACCGCGGTTATTTTGACGATCGCACCGTGACCGTGAGTCACAAGTTTCTATACGTACCTGTATATTGTTACCCATTTTTTTTTGTTTTTATAGATCAGTACCACAAACGGTAAAAATTGATTTCGTATGTCTTTTTTTGGTAACTGCAATACTCTAGACTTTCTTTTTATGCACAGAAAAAATCCCGTCCCGTCCCGTCCCGTCCCGAACTAAAAATTCAATCCCGTCCATCCCTACAAACTTGATAAGTAAATATTAGAAACAATGATTGTTAAACCTTCTTGATTATTTTCCCTAGTTTTGATCTTTGCTAAAACTTCTGAATTAATTCTAAAAATAAATTTGTACTCAGATAAGTTGCTTGTTTTGAGAATAAAACCAAAATAATTTCACATAATTACTCTTACAACTAAATTTCACATGAATAACTAAATTTATTTGGACACAGCATTAACTGTGATAAATTATTTACAACTTGTTTTATACACAAGCATGTAAATCAGAATCAACTGAGACAAAAAAACAACGTGAATCACCCTATTATTTTATAATACAATCAAAAATACATCATGATCAACACCAAGTACATCAAAAGCAAAAGGAAACATGAGATAAAGGTTAGTATAATTGATGGCCACTGATGTTTTAGTCAAAGCAATTGATGCATGAAATGAAAATGAACATTATAACATTATAACAAGTTAACCAATAAGTAAAACGAAGCTCCTTTAGTTTGTTATTGACTGCATACACTACAAGTCATCCAATGTGTAAAACATATCAAGTATATTTTCTGTATTTTTTCACCCCTTTGTGATCAGAATTATTTCTTAACCTAAACCCAAGTGTTTTTTTATTGTTCAGATTTTGGTATATTATTATTATTATGTGTGACAGTGACTTTCTGTAGCAACATCCAAGCGGATCTTCTTAAGGATTGCTTGGTAGCTTTTAGATAGTTTGAAAATTGACCCAGCTGTCTTTCATCATGCATTGGACTTTTCTTAAATAAACAGATGATCCTAGTCAGTAACCTAGCTACTTAAGACATCTGATTCATCTCCCATTGTGGCAGCCAAACTCTTACTACAACTGATTCAATTCACGTTGCTTAAAAACTGTGTGTTTAGTTCAAATATAGGGACATTTTAAGTGTACAAGTCATAGTGATAACAGTGATAGAACACATAAACTCAGATAAGTTACTGGAATTTTGAATTGAGAATAGAAAACTATCAGTCTTGAAGTGGAAACAAAAGAAGAAGGAGATTAAAAAAAATCTTATAACTTTCCTTAAAAAGATTAGCCTGTTTTCAATAATTTAGTCCCATTTTTTAGCATTGTGGACAAAGATGTTAAAATACTCTTTATTTTACAACTTGCACAAGTACACTGTACCAAACGACATTCAAACTAACTGTAGCAGTTTGTTAAAAAAAGCCAAAAAAGTATGGACACAAAAATTTGACAACTTAAATAATGTATACAGTCAAATACCATTGAAATCAATACACAAAATAATACACATCCTAAACCTGAAAAACAAACCGTAAAATCTACTAACATAAAAGTTTCATTGTCTTTCAACCACCGAAATTGTGCTGAGAAACGGTGCACTTTGGTGCCAAGTTGGTGGAAATTCTGAAACTGAAATTATAAAATGTGACAAAAACGACAGGAGAAGAAGTAAAACTACGAGTCAGCAGCGGAAGACATGCAGTGCGTAGATCCGGGTACCTCTTTCTCAATGAGTTTCTCAACAATTTCGACAGTGCGGACTTTGACCAAGCCGGTCTCTTCGTCCGTGTACTCCTCCGTCTTGGTGGTGACTGTTTCTCCGACCACTCGCTCTGACTCTCGGACTCGCACTGGCCCTGGCGAGTGACGCACGGACAGCTTGGGGAAATCATCACTGGATGGTCTCAGACACTGGTGTGCCAACACTCACCGTTAGTAACTTTACCATCCTCACAATCAACCCACTTTTAATATAACAAAAAGCATTTTCTATTGTTGCTTGCTTTGTAAATAAATATAACCACTAACTTGGGATCTCAGGCTTAAAGATAACCATTAAAGATGATCATTGTGATCATCCAATAGGTATAGGAATCTGCTTGTCTCAAATATTTTTAGGTCGGGTTAACAGTTGGCCTTAGGGTTCGGTTTGGGCCAAGCGCGGGTTGGGTCAAGCATAGCCAAGCTTTTATTTTCATGGCTGCAGGAGGTGTCTTTTAAGTTGCATTATCAAAAATTGATGATTACATTGCAATCACGGGGGATTTCCACGGTTTGACCGCAAAGCTGGGAGACAATGATGGTGTCACAGTGACTGCGGAAGATTCTTGATTTCAACATAACCGCAGAAGATTTTCACAATCCCTTTGACCTCGGAATATGTTGACCATGACCGCAGAAGATATTCACGATTTCAATGTCACTACAGAAGATGTTCAGAATTTTGCCCCGACCGCAAAAATCATTCAATTTTGCCAAGACTCCAGAAGGTGTTCACGATTTTACTGGGATGAGGGGAGGGGATCGTATAAAATATTATGTATAAATATAATCCATTGTAGAATTGAAATAATTGTTTTAAATATGTATACTTTCTAAGGCAACTAGATTTTAGCCCAATACTCAACAGGCAACATTTTTTACCCCACCTGACCCGCTCAGAAGTAAAAAAAGTCTAGCCCACAAGCCCCTAAAATTGTACACTTCAATTTTCATTCAGCGTAGAAAATAAAAAGCAAGGTTTTCTTGCGATTGTAAGCTTAATAAACTTTTAAACTCTCAGTTGGTATCTCAGATAAAAGAGTTTAAATAATCATAAAAAAAGAAAAAAAACAAAAAAAAAAACAACAAGAACAATCACAAAAACAACTCATCCATGCACAATGTCTTATGTGGCACTGAGCAGCTTGGTGATAAGGACTGGCAGTACAGTCTGTGCCCAGATTATGAAGCCATATGAGGGTTGAAGAACTACATTTTATCAATAATCTGTGATTCATTAAAGCTTGCAGGGTACATGTGTATTGTTTCAGAAAGACAGTACACTTTTCTTCTGATATCCCAAACATATTTCCTATTAGGAACCACATTTATTAAGATTCAGTGTTACAATGAATCACTATATTTCACAAATTAATACGAAACCCTCAATTATTAAAAGCTAAAAAGTCCTCTGCCCTAAACACAATGAGTTCAATGAAAACATTCAACAATTTAATAAACTTCGCCCATTCATAACCCTATGTCAGTTGACCCTGTACAGGTTATATACACAAGGCGCTGTTAGAGGACGAGCGAGCAGCTATATTCAGCTGAGCATTTCTGTTAGCGAGCATTCACATGCGACCACGGTGCCATGCAGGACTGACTAACCTCAGCTATGTTGTTCTGATGGTCGACAGGAGGCTGATTGTTATTTTCTGGTTCCTCAACTGTTCGTCCACCGATCATTTCACTCATCTTCTTGATCACCATCTGCGCTTGTAGTGCATCCTACGACATAGTTAAGTTGAAAATTATGTGAACAATTCCAGGGTTAAAACTAATACTGTTGCAAACCTATGAAATAAATTGACAAAATTTGAACTTGGTTAACAACTAACCCTCACGTAGGACCTAAAATGTTACAATACATACAAAACAGTCCTTTAAGAATTTCACAGTTGCACAAGTAATGTGTCAAAGTCGAATCTCAACAGATTTAAAATAGAGACTTTATCAATGAGCATACGATAATTTATTCTCAAATTTAATAGTTTCCCATTTTCTTATGCTACTACGACATTTGGATTTGTTCAAGGCAGTACACATAGTGGAATCAAATTAAGGAAGTTCAACCCCCAAGAAGTTTGTGTTTCATTTCCTCATGTGTGGTTTAAATAATTTAGGGATTTTTCATACATGGTAATCTTGCAAGATTATTACGGTTGCAAGCAAATTATTACCATACAACTGTGATTGTGGGATTTGACCACCAATGATGCTTGTATACTAAAATGAACAATTTCAAAAAAGCAACTTGATTTATTTTACAATTATTTTAATTACAAATAAATTGTACCAAACTAATTTTCAAAGTAGGTTCTATATGGTAGAAAAATTGTGCTTGGTTTTAGTGATGTGTCAAAACCAAATCTCAAAACCATCAAAACTTTGGAAAAGTTTCGGTTTCGAGATTCAAAAGTTTCTAAATTGAAGACTTTTGCAGTGATTTTTGAAACTGCTGAAATTATTTTGTGTCATTATTATTGTTTTAAACACTGTTCCTCACAAGCTCATAACAATAGACAAACTTCACCCAGTAATGAAACAAGTAAATTGTAGGCTAATCTGAACTTCAAAAGGCATCTTAATTAATATAACTGGAAAGATGTATGATTCGGTTTCATATCAATATTTATTAAACCCAAAGAAATATTAAACACTATAATATGTTCTAATTAATCTAATATTCAAATTTATGTTGGTGTTAGGAGTTTAATTTATTTTGTTGGTTGTTTTGAAAAATTATGTTGTAAGTTATTGGGTTTTAAGATTATCAGTCACATATTTATGTTATGTCGGGGTCAGGAGTTGATCTCTTTTAGTTTTGATTGCATACTTAACATTTTATTATTACCTGTATTTTTTGTAACCTTGACCTTTGTAACCAGCTAAGTAAAACACTAAAAAAGTTTCGCGTTTAGGTTTTGAGATTCGAGATTCGGGATATGATTTTTAAAAGTTTCGGTTTCGGTTTTGAGATTCGAAATTTCTGGTTTTGACCATCACTACTTGGTTTCAAGAGTAAACAAAACTTTTTCGAATTCAAATGCCTAGAAATTCACAATTTCTGCAGAATAGGAGGTACACATAACTTTTTTTTTAAGATAGAGGGATAGTATTCCTTGCCAAAGAAATAGATGAACCTACATCTTTCAGATGGTTTCAAACAAGCATGTTTTAACATTGTCACATCGCAAACTGCAATTTTCAAATGGCATGATCTAATCACAGGCCACAAGTACGGAAGTTTTGGCTCTCTAATTACTATGTCATTATTTTGGATTGTTGCGAACATTTCCAGTCACGATTAGTAAAATACAAGTTTTCACAATAGGCCTATTTCAGATGACAACGTAAAAAGCTAGTGACACACACCTGTTCCAGAGACTTGAGCCGAGCCTGTCGCCATGCAGCTCGCTTCTCCGCCCTCAGAGCTCTCTGTTCTGCGGGAGACAAGTCTGCGTCGTCCTCATCACTTAACAGACCCTACACAAACAGACTTTATATTACCCAGCATCACCAATCAAATAGGAATTTTCAAAAAAAGGTACAGAGTTTAGCTAGTAATCCTAAGAAAATTAAGTCCAGGGGCACAAGGCCTACGTTTTTAGGATTGTTTTCAGAATTGAGGGATCACCTGAATGGGAAGAGTCCAAACTGACACGAGAAACACAAAAACTTTACTCTATAACAAAAAATTAGAATATCCGTCATCTATCACTGACAGCGTTTTAAACTAAGGAAAGTATGAGTTAAAGGAAGGGTTTTCTTCAGCCAGGTAGCTGTTGTCCATATGTTTTAATGTTAATTTTACCTCTTGCAACATTCTCTCCTTCATCCTTCGTTCAGCCTTGGCGGTCCTGATGCTTCCCATACTTCTCAGAGTATCTGTAGGACTCGACATGGAGCTTCGCCTACAATCATGTGTTTTTGTGAGCAAATTATAACAAGTTGATAGTTACTTTATAGCAATTAATCTTTTAAATGTGTGTTGATGTTATGTGACATATAATATTTGAATACAAACAATGATGAAGTAACGAGGAATTGAGCTGTAAATAAATGTTAGTTTTATTTATCTTACTCAAAAGGTACAGTTTTCTCAGACTTTTGTGGTCTGACTAAGAATATAAACGATTAAATGAGTAAACCAACAATATATGTTTTTACTTATCAAAACTAAATTTATGAATTGTATTCATTATTAAATTATATTTTAGCTACTACAAAAAAAGAAGAGGATTAGTGGGAGGAATTGTTTTATTAATAAATAAAATTGATTTCAAACCTAAAACTTAACAGTTTTGGTATATTAAATTAGTACTAATAAGGTCTCAAAGGTGTTGTATTAGCAAATTTCTACTACAAAGACCACATAAACGGTAATAATCTAATCACACTACCGAAGTACTACTAACATCACAACAATACAGTAGAACTCCTCATATCTGACCTCGGAATAACCAACTCCTCGGATCCGACCTAGTGTCCAACTGTCTACTTTCTGAGCGATAATGTCTGAGCGATAATGCCGAGGGCGATCGGTTAACCGAAAGGCCAATTGCGGATGTTGCCGTGATTGTGGCAGGCCATCACCACTGTCGCCAATAACAGGTGTTGCTGCCTTTGCGAGGGACGATTGCTGAAGTCATGGAGACTGTAAGTTACGCACACGGGTATTGTTGCGGTCGGGGAAGACGATTACCGATGTCGCGGAAACTGTAGTTTATGCTCCTCCCAATACCCGACCTTTTGGCCGTTTTGACCATGGCCTGGTCCCGTCATGGTCGGATATGAAGCGTTCAACTGTAAATCCAAACCAACAACAAAGAGTGAACCATAAACGTATAAATTAATTGATACTCACTTATCACTCTCCAATTCCATGGCAACATCTTCCTCATCAGTTGTTAGACTATAATGTTTCTCAGTCTTGGTCAGAGATAGGGATGCAATCTTCTTGTCTGTAATCCAATCACATGGCAAATAAATTCAAACCATTTTAAATAGAGTAATGATCAGTTATATGATGAAAAATAACATTTTTTTAAACAAATGTACACACATTCTCCTACAATGTAATCTACAGGCTATCCTACTTTGGAAAAATAATAAGTATAAAATTTATAGTTGCGTAACACATTTTAAAATTTATTTAAAATACTGGGTGGGTTTCCAACAGATATCATAAGTAGCTTCATTATTAAACATTAGTTAACATTAGCTACATTAAATATTAGCTACATTAAACCTAAAACCTCAATGTACAGTATAGTGTGAGGGATTTACATACTGTTAAACATGAATAATTCACACAAATTTAGAAAAACCAATAAACAAATGCTGATCTACAGTTAATGTTTTGTTGGAAATGATAATGGGATATGATGGAGAAAAATAAATATGGTATCTGACACACGCTGGATGTTGATAAATACAACTTGACTTGTCTTTGTTCTAATGAATATGAGTAAAATTTCAAAAGATAAACACAATATGAGACAAAAATTCTACAAAAACCATCAAAATAGATTATAGACAGTAGACAATATACAGTACCTTCTTCCTGCTTCATTTTTTCTACTTCATCTTGACTCAAAAAGGTGAACACTCTCTCTGAAAACAAAACATAAATTTAATTAATAAAATTTTAAGATAAAGGAATAGAAAACTTACCTTGTTCAATTTTTGTTTCCAAAAAGATGTTAGCTCGCTCTTTTAACCTTGCATTTGCCAGTCCACAAAGACCAAAGAACGAAGACGATCAAACACACAAAAAGAACAACAGAAGAAGATCTATACGTGTAACGTATCCAGCAAAGCATGGGGTGAGCCCATACAGTGCAACGGTGAAGTGTACTGATAAAAAGTAGTGTGGCAGGTACCAGGATCTGATCTGAACCCACAACATCGGTGCCTTGGGCCTGAAGTCCTCGGCGCTTCCGACTGAGCCACCAACTCATCAACAACAAATACTTAGATCTTAGGAAACAATATTATTTTCTTTGACATCAACTGCGATCAAAAAAGCTACTTTTTTGTGCGGAGCGGTGAAAAAATGAATTATGTATTTTTTACACCTTATTAAAAATCTGTGTACTTGGTGTGGACTCTTCCTCATTGGAAAGTCCAGGACTTTAGAGTGACTCAAGTGTTCCACTACGTTAACCTTTATACATATATATTTATTTATTTATTTAGCACAAAACAATTTTCTGAAATGAGTAAAGGTTCAAGTTTTGACAATTACCTGGTTTAGGGGAAGGATGAGTAGACTCTTCCATCGCTTTCTCAAAAAACTTCTTCTTGTCACTAACGGTGGCTGTGGCGTTGGAGCTGGCTGAGACTGCGGCCGGAGGTTGATTGCCCTGCTATGAAATCACACTGACTAACTCAAGGTTTCTGCTTAGATGGTTATTAAAAAAACTTTTTGATATAACATGAAAAAAGTAAACATGTATAATACTCATAAAAGATAAAATGGAGGTCAGAACAAAATAGGACATATTGTTTTAGATGGAGAAAGCAAGACGGAGAATAACTTTTCCTTAAGTAATTCATATTAATTAAAAGAAATAATAACGTTTTAAAAACTATGGTAGCGTATTAAAAAAATAGTAAATCTTGAATCTTGAGATACTTGTTTGCAACAAAGTGATATGTTATGTGCAATTATTGATATATTTAAACATCTCATTGTGTGATACAAAAATGAACTTTTATCTTTGCTGTTGCTAATCCCTTTAGTCATTATCAATGTAGTTAAAATGAATAGATATAATGTAAATCAGACTTAATGTAATTAAAATAGGATATTGGTTTTAGAGTCAGAATATACTTTCATCACTTCCTTCAGTAAATTAAATAGTTATTTTTACAAAAGTTGGTATCTATCTAGAAAATCGGACTCTTTTTTTTACAAGAGAGATGTTGACAAACTCGGATTGCCTAATTTTCAAGTTTGAAAAGGATACTTTGCACATAAATTACACTTTATATTTGATTGGCAGTTGTTATTATGTGACAACAAATCTTACAAAATCCAACAAAACTTTAAATTCATCTACACTTTTAGCAAACTTTAAGAAAACTCGCTCCAAAATTGTGACAATTTGTATGATCACATTTTCATTTAAACTCTTAAGAAGAACAGTTGAAGAAGTGGACGACATGCACTTTGTCCAAAAACGTAGAAAGAGGAATTTTCCCACATTCTCACCTCATCCGGATGATGTTGAATATAGTCAACCAAGAGACATTAAAAATAGCTGATTTTAAAAACAACGTCTTACAAACAAATAACCAATCAAGTAATATTTTCTGATTAACCATAGGGACTTAGCCAATTCCTCTTTCCACGTCAAGACAAAATCCCAGTTTAATTCATAAATTACCCAAATTCCAAAACCAGACTGTAAAAATCTACTTTAGTTTGTTAGTGTTTTTACACTGTTAGTGTCATTTGAACACTAGGTACCTATAGAACTGGACATGCAATCCCTCTGCTAGTTTTTAAGTCAAAATGGACGTTGGCACTAGTTGCATTGAGCCACCGACAGAATTAATTACTGATTACTGTCGAATACGCCAACTTTGCAACAAGTCAAACCAATAGAACGACTTATCGTAAGCTATAGAAATCGTATATTTCATCACTAGGGTGAAAAGTGACTCTTTTCCACCCAAGCTCCAGTTGTACGATTGAGGCTAAGCTGAGTTATGAGCAAGGGTTGAAAAGACACTTTTTGCACATGTGATGAACTTTTTTATCACATTGCATTTTTAATTAAATGAATATTAATATTAGCTGGAAAACAAGAATACTTATCATGTAAAGATAACCTCTAAAAAAAGACTATCAGCTTGTGTTTAGTTCTGCTAATGTAAATAAGCAGCTGTTTAGTAAGTAATTTAAAAATTTGGTTTTCCTACAGTCACCTAACAATGCACATGTTCTCTCACTGATTTGAGAAAGCAAAGTGGCCAATTCGCTCATCAGTGAGACAATGTTAACATTGTCTCACTCTAATTACTTTGTCTCACTCCAGATTTACAACGTGAAGGCACGAAATAGTGAGCGTGTAACATGCAGACAAGGTCGTATGCGCGCGAAATACGTTGGCAGCACTGGCTGTAAATCAGCTGATCATCTGTTGTACTGTTGTATTTGTCATTTCACATTAAATGTCATATTAAAAGTTCACTTCTGTGTAAAAATATGTTACGTTTCTTTACTAATTTATTTGTTTTATGGTAACTGTAGGAAAAATATAATGTGCAACTCGAGTGCAAAGTGCAATTGCCTCACTCGAGAACCCATTCCTCACTCGCCTACGGCTCGTGAGTAAGGATTTCTCTCGAGTGAGTCAATTGCTCACTTTTCTCACTAGTTGCACAAATAACTATTATTATGATTGTGTTACTTACTGACTGTACATTATACCATCGATATGTCGAACTATTGACAAGAATGCAACAATAAGCTGAAATCTTACCTAATAAATCAATCGATAAATAATTTCGATCCATGCAATTGTTACAATTGAAATTTACAACAGCTGATTTTCACTCCCTAGGGACTAAAAAGGCTTTTTAGGCTCCTTAGGAGTAAAAATGCTACTTTAAACCAGCAATGCATGTATAAAAAATGCTGTTTTAGCTGCAGTATGACGCAAAAATTTTAATGTAGTGCTGATTTCTATGAGTGGCTCGTTCAACAATGTTCTTTTGAATAAAATCAAGCAACAGCTGGTCTATATAGATAGGATGTCTACTTCAGTAACCAAAAGTCAATAATGCAAATTACTACAGATAAAACTTGTTCAACTATACTACGACCCACCTGTAGAGTCCGAGTAGATACAGATTGTTGCCCATATCCCTCAAGCAATGGTGGTGTGGCCACAAATACCTCCATCCAAGAAGGGGAGGGGGAACTATGGGGGAGAGTAGCATAGTTGACTGGTGGAAGAGTAGGGGGAGGGGAGGGTAGGGATGGCTTGTTGCTTTCATTTACCTCTGTCACTCGGTCGGTTGAAATGTTTTCCGAACTTATATTTATTGTCTCCAAGCTTTTGTTCAAGAAAGCTAATCTTGCCGACTCTTCAACTTTTCTCTGCGAAAAACTTTCAGAAATCGGTCTTGGTAATTTTGACTTTGTCATCTCCTTTCTAGTAAAATATCTCAAAGAAGTACTTGAGATTGAATTTTCAGCCGTTTCATGGGTAGAAATCGTAGATTTTGACTCATTTTTTTCTAGTACTGTAGATTTTGATTCAGTGTCTTTCTCCTTAGACATTTCTTGCTGCTTAAAGTAATGTGTATGAGTTGACGGGGTTTTGGAGGAAAGTTTTATACTGGATGAACTTTGGTAGACTGGTTGATATGAAGGTTCGTTATGGTTTTCATTGGTGGAACTACTACTTTGGACATGTTCTTGTGAGGCTTTTGGTGGTGGGACATGACCCATGTTCAAACTTGTAGGTGCTTGAGGTTTATTTTCTAGTGAGGTTTTCGGTGGTGGGACATGACCTATGTTCAAACTTGTAGGCGCTTGAGGTTTATGTTCATATGAGGTTTTTGGTGGTGAGACATGATTTATGTTTGAACTTGTAGACTCTGGTGGTTTATGTTCTTTTGAACTTGAAGTCTTACTTAGCTGTGGAACATTGCCTGAGTTCAAACTAGCAGGTTCTTGAGGATTATTATCAGCTACACTCTGTGGATTATAATACAAGTGACTCGGATACGAGACTGACAAGCTACTAAAATCAGATGAGGACCTCCCGACATCCGCTCTGGCAGGTCCAATGAGTTGATGAGGATTTGAATGTGGCTTTGGTTGAGGATATGGAAACCGAGTTGGGTAATTTTGCTGTGGAAACTCCCTTAGGTATTTAGCTGTTGTCGGTGAATACAGCGGAAACGAATTAGGTGGAAAATAAGTTGGCACAGTCGGAGATGACATCTGCACAGGTATGTAGGCGATTCCATTAGATATTATAGGAACAACTGGAGCTTGTCCGTGGAACATGTGTGGAATGTTTGGTGATTGTTGTGCTGAAACTCTGTAAGCGTCTTGAGGTAGATAAACTTGAGACGAAGCTGACACAGTTTGTACAGGTGATTGAGCATACAGCGGTTGAATGTTGGTGTATTCAACAAAACTCGGACTAGGGACCTCAGTGAAAGAAGTGAGCAATTTTTTCTCTGAAGGAGAAGTCAAAGTTGGCATAGACTTTGATAGACTTGAATTTTCAGATTTCTCCTTTGACGTATGCACTTCCATGATATTCCTAACCCTAGGAGTCTCTTCGAAGCGGACACTTCTTCCGGTTCTTGGCAAAGTCAAATTTGTGTCTGGGTCCTCTTTTGGTGTATTGACCTTAGGGTATGTACTAAAATGTAAGTTAGACAGATGTTCCAAGGATTTGTGAAAAGATGGTAATTTAGTTAACTTATAAGGACTATCATTCAACAAGTCTTCAGTGGATTTCACAACATTTGGAGCGATGGAAATACTTCTTTCTGAGCTCCTCACAATAGGTGAGTATGTTGTTTTTGGAGAAACTTGTATATTCAACTCTGATACATATTCCTTCTTGATTTTCCTCTGGTCGTCTAAACCTTCCATCAGATCTTCAGAACTAAAAGTTCTTTTAGTTTGAACTTGGTGAGCTATTGAACTGTCAAAGCTTATTGAATTTTCTTTACTCTCGACATTGCCGTTCTTGGGGTTGTCATACTCGAAAGAACTTTCAGTACTTTCTTCTGATTCTTCAGTCGCTGATTCTGACTCACTGACGCCGCTTGATCCAGCACCATTAGCTTCCTTGCCAGATTTGTCAGGTACTGTAATTAAGCCTTCAGTGCGGCTGGAAGTTAAACGATGAGTTTCATTTCTCAACAACGGCTGGGTAGCAATAGGCAGCCGAGACTTGTGGGATTGATTCAGAACTGGAGTGGAGGGAGGTGTCTTGGGGACCTTTACGGATTTCACTGCTTCAGGCTGTAGTGCATGCAAAAAATTAAATATATCATGCAACCACTCTTGTTATGAATACAGTTACAAAAATCTAGACAGAATACTGAAGAGTACACCGGTTCACTATTTTGGTGTACCATTTATTTTAAAATTATTATTTAAGTACAAATAAATTTCAATAAAATTCAATTCTTGACATTTATTTCAATTGTTCAAATATATTCTATAACTGTATTTATGATAACAATACAAACAAGGAAGGTTTCTAAAATCTCATTTAGGTAAATTTTTTTTTATATATTTAAGGTTTAAAACCAACTTTAAATACTTAATTACAAGAAAATTCAACACTTTATAATTCTTATTATTAATTTATTAATTCTTACTGAAAAGAAAACAATTATAATTCTTTCGCCCTTTTAACCCTCCTTCTTTAACTTTGTTTACCCTGAAAATTGAACAAATGATGCATTAAAACTTTATCATCACTGTTCAATAAAACTATTCAACATCAGAATCTAAAAATGTACTAGTTAACTTGTGTAAGGTAATATTTAAACTCTCTTCTTTATCTGTTCTAGAGTTTTTAACTATTTTATACTTTAAATGTTCCATACACAACCAGAAGAACCACAATGTACTTAATTTTTTAAGAAGCCATTACTCACAGGTTAGTACTATATTTTGATAACTAACAATTTAAAAAAATAGGCTATGTTTACGGCTAAACTGCCATGAAATTCATAATAGACAAGACAAAACACAACCAAAAAGCAATGTTACAGCCCAAAGCGTGAAGAGGTAGGAAATGGAAAGGTAACAATTGATCATGTACGTAAATAACAAAACATTACACTGTGATAGATCCAAGACGTAAAGACAAGACGAGAATATTTACATTAAATCAAACACCTTAAAACAGAGATTTTTTCCACCACAGAAGTTTTGGAATTATACTACCACACTTTAGACAGACAGACCTTTAACATAAACACTGTAATGGTGTAATATAGCTTCAAGTTAAATTTGGGGAAAAATTAATTCTTTATCATGGTCTTGTTGCTGTCGTCGAGGCTAGAAATTTGCCTGCATTCAGGAAAAATACTAAATCTTTACACCATTGTTTAAGTGCAACAAAGATTTATTACAGTTAGTAATTTTATGTTTGTGTCCAATGTCCACTGGTTTTTTTGCGTAAACCGTTTCGTGAGATGAATTTCACTGCCGGATGTTTTTACTACTGGTATCCATGTTTTGTGTTTTTTACGCCAGTGGCATTTTTTTCGTTTTGAAAGGGAACAGTCCAAACCTTGGTCTTGATCCTAGCTAACGTCGACCTTTTTGTTAGATAGCATCATTAATTCATAGCCCAAAGACAAATGGCATCTGGGTCTGGAAACAATCTCGCATGGATTCGAACCAGCAACCTTCAGATTTGCAGGTGAGCACTATAACCAATCGGCTACCCAGACAATCAAACCCTAGTAGCTAGACTGAGTCTGAGTCTACAGTTTGAAGTTCATAAGTTGGAATGGTCAATGCTGAAAACTGATTAACTTTGACTGGCTGAAAATGCCTACGTATTAAGTTAATGTTTGTGTTTAGTTTATTTATATATATGTGTATATATGAATAGACCTGAATTGCAGGTTAAGGAAAGTGGCCTGAGAAAATCTGGCTGAAAAAACCTTGTACACAAACAAAAAGATAAGAAAAATAAGAATCTTTAAGTTTTCATCAAAACAAATTTTTGTTCCGGATTAAATTTAAGTCAGATAAAGGCCTTTACTTGGACTGGTATGTCCAGTCTTAATACTGAATTGTCTGGGTAACCGAATGGTTATAGTGCTCGCATTAAGATCTGAAGGTCGCTGGTTCGAATCCATGCGAGATTGTTTTCAGACCCAGATACCATTTTAACATTGGCCTATGAATTAATGATTGCTATTTAACAAAAAGGTCGACGTTAGATAGTAGTGATGGTCAAGTCTCGAAATTTCGGGAAATTTTCAATCTCGTTACACGAGACGAGATTACTTTTTGGCCGAGATTTTTATCGAGACGAGAATAAAAAAAATAAAAATAAAAAAAAAATTAAAAACGCCTGCAGAAAGTCAATGCAATACCCGCAATACAGGAGCGTGTTGTAGTTGCGTTTCCTTTTCGAAGGCGTTCTTATTTAATTAATTCTTTTAATGTAAATATTACTTTCATTATTTTAATAATATTACTTTAATAACATTTGAGAAGTTTTGTTAAGTGTAAGCAGTGTGAGGAATGTTTTATTACTATAAAAAAAGTCAAAACAAGTAACTATTTTATAAAAATTAATATTGCTTTTATTTTATGATTTATTTTATTTTAGGATAAGTTGAACTCTATCCTAACTGATATCACCATGTTTCCTAATCGTAGGCATTTTTAATAAGTTAGGCGTGATTAATAAAAAAATGTTATGCTGATGTTATTTAATGAAAGATTGTAAATATTCTTGCCTATTATCATTATTTTAGTATTTAAACAGTCATCTAACAATGTTACAAAATCAGGTAAAAATTTCGAACGTGCATTTCCCGTTGTGTATGAGAAGAGAAATCTCGTCTCGATCTCGTCTCGAAATTTTATGAGAAATAAAAAATCTCGTCTCGTCTCGTCTCGAACTAAAAATCCAATCTCGTCCATCCCTATTAGATAGTAACAAGACCAGCGTTTGGACCGCTCCCTTTCAAAACGTAAAAAATGCCACTGGCGTAAAAACACAAAATAAAATACATAACCTTCACCCGTTAAAATAAAGAGTATTGTTTATATTTTATGGGGGATTCCCAAATCAAACCCAAATCAAGAATAAACATTTTCACCCTAAAGATTATATACAGCTGACACAAATGATGTAAAACTATGAACCAGAATGTCATGATAAACAAGCATTGAAACCTTTAATTTAATAATCCAAATAATTGTCAACCTTTCTGACTGGTTTGATTCAAGAAACTATAAAATGATAAAACTGTGCTGCAACAACCCATGCAAGGTGATCGAAAACCTTTAATAAACTGACTGCTTGAATTTATTGGATAATAAAACAAGATATGTACATTCACATTGCGTCGGCTTACTTACAAAATACTTACAATTTACAAGATACATGAAACACTTATATTAAACTCTTAGCGAATAAACTATCTTTACACTATAACCCTCAATCCAACTATCAACGTAACTGTATATATAAACAGCACGATTTACATACAAAATAAATATTTTTAGAAAAATACAAGACCCGTAGACAATAAGTACCAAAAGTTAGCACCCGACTTATTTAAGAATATGTTAACTCAATTTGCTAGGGCGTGAAGCGCTTTGAAAATACTAATTGTATCTATTTTACTTTTTACTATGATAAATTAACAAGGTTAATAATTTAGTAACATTAATACATACAGAAGAGGAAGAACTAAAAAGATGTCAAAGTATGAAACATTGTTTAAATATTACTAGTTTTTTTCAATAATAGGATAAAAGTACGCTACTAAAATTATTTGTGAAAAGAACCATTGGCATATATCGCTATTTCCTTTAATTGATGTTAAGGTATAAACATTGATTTTTACAACTTATTGTTAGAATAATTATTATAAAAAATAATTTTTAGACTCAACTTTCAAACGTTAGGAACAAATTACTAACAATAAACAAACAACATAAACACAGAGTTGTATCCGGGTTCAAATCAGTGTCAAATCAATCTATTAAATAGTAGAATCTAGTTAGAATCTATTAAATATCGCGAAAGTATCTAAAAGTATCATTATATCTCAAATGTTTGTTATGTGCTTACAAATACAAAGGCAAGTGTTTAAATACCTTATGAGACTTTAAACAACATGAAGTTGGAAGCTTATTACAAACAAATAAACACTTTTTCATCATAATGTCCGGAAAGCAGCTGTCTTTAGTTCTCTAAATCGTCCGCTAAATCATTGTTTTTTTGGTAACTTCAAATAGGGAACCGAAAAAATATATGGTAAATTTTTTTGTCACTAACCTCAAAATTTTATCAGTGCATTATGAAAACACTGCTAATCACCATAGAGATGAATTGATTATAACAATATTTAAAGTTTTGTTTGTAAACAACAGAAATGTAAACATTAATGTCGACTTAGTCTAACCTCAAATTAGGTGGTCTAATTTTGTAACGATTAGAAGGTTATTTCCACAGTAAGATGAAAATAGTTGTTCATCACACGGATCAAAAGTGTCTTTTGGTACTTAATCGTACCAAAAAAGCCACTTTCGCTCCTAGTGATGAAACTACTATTGACCAATGTTTACAGGCTGTTAATAAACAATGAATAATTAACTAACTGTTTTCTAACGTGAATTGCAAAGGAAGATAATATTGGCTAAAAAGATTAGCAATTTAAGAAGTGTCTCTCGCACTACACTAACCTTGGCCATTTAAACTGAAAATAAATTAATCATTTTAAAAATAAAATTTGTGTTTTAAGAATACTTCCAAGGACATACAATTCAGAACAAAAAAACTTGGTACTTGAGTAGTTATTACATTCACACGTGATTTAGCAAAAATCTCTTTTGTTTGTTTACTAACGACAACATTTCTGGCAATATACATTTATGAAGATTTATCAAAACAAGCACACAAACAACACCTAACAACTACTTTCATTCATTTTTTTGCACATCTACAATCATACATGAAACTGGTGGTGTATCTCGTCCTTCAAAAGAAGGTAAGAACATTTTTATTTTTCGATAATAAGATATTTTTGTAAACTTAAAAAAAATACTGACTTTTGCCTTTTTTAGAATGTAATGTATACGTTAAAGTTAAAACCCACCTATGCCTTTCCAAACGACACAAAAGAATTAAATTTAGCGAAGCTAAAAACTTGTGAAATAGCTTTACTGAATGAATGTAACAATCATGATTAAAGATATTTTCGACTTACATTAATGAGGCAACAGTTTATACTGATTTATGATATGAGAATAAG